AACGTCTGGTTCTTTAGATGCAGCACATTCACGAACAAAGTCATCTACAGCCTGAAGAGCCTGTTCCAGTCGTGCATCGTCTGGAGCCTCTTCTAATATTATGCGGACCTGGTGGGACAGAGCTGTTATCGACATAAGTAGAGTGGGCTCTTAGAGATCAGGGTTTCACTATGTAGCTTTATATAAACGTCACACCGTATAAGCGCTCAAGCGCTCACCGCTCCTCCTCAAATTGTTACATGCCTAGTCACGCCATAGTAATACAAAATGTATGCTGACAGTCGACCTTTCAATAAGATACTTGCGCGAGCTTACTTCTGAATTCGGGTTTCTTCCGACTTAAACGTTATACCTGTTCTTTGAGGTTCACCTCGTCGCGATTCACAAGTAAAGGCGAAGTTTTATTAGGTACTATTTATGAAAAGGAGAATGGGGGGGTTGGAGTTAGTGATAGGTTTTCGGGCGAATGCGCGCAGCGCTTTCCGGCCCCGGGGAAATGTATAAAGGAGAGTTGAGCTGCGAGGGCGGGTGGGCGCGCCTCGCTGTGACTCGTTGGTAGCACACGTTTTCCTCAGGACCCAAGTGGGTTTTTTTTAATTTTAATGTTGAACAGCGAGGCCTTGAATCGGACTCAGAGTTCGATGAGACAAGGGAGTGGAGGGTGGGGAAATAGAAGCGAGCAGAGTGAGGCTCAGTGAGCTTGCACGGCGACGAACAGTGATCGCGGCACGAAAGCAAGAGTTTTGGTACCGCGTCTCTTGTTCGCTCGAAGACCTTACTCTATTTTTCCTCTCGTACCTCGTTACATAATAGAGTGCCAATCTTTGAGGTTCACCTCGTCGCGATTCACAAGTAAAGGCGAAGTTTTATTAGGTACTATTTATGAGAAGGAGAATGGGGGGGTTGGAGTTAGTGATAGGTTTTCGGGCGAATGCGCGCAGCGCTTTCCGGCCCCGGGGAAATGTATAAAGGAGAGTTGAGCTGCGATTCCCAAGATTTAGGAGTTCGGCGACGCATCGAGCAAAACTCAGATTCCCAAATTGTAGGAGACGGACGAGGTACTCACGTTTAAGTTTCTAGTCTTCGGTTGGCGTCTAGCGCGCCGGGGGTATTGTGTAACGAAGGAATTGGTCATGCAAGGTAGGTGTGGCTTGCATGTATGGGGCCATTATTTGAGCGTGTTTCCTCAGATATATGAGGAAAGCGTCGCTCGCCCATCGACCCTTTATCTTGACTACATCGAAGGGGATGTTCCGCAGCAAGTACTCTAAGGTGGATCCGATTCGGATTCCATGTCCTTGTAAAGGTTCATGGCCTGCGGCTCTTGTTGCGGTGGCTAGCCTGCTTAGGAATTTCGGTTTCGTGAGTGGGCGGTGGGTGTTGTCTTTGTGCCGGTATGCGAAGAGGGCGAAATTGGATGGGGGTTGATTGATCTGCAGGTGATTGATAAAAGCTTCTTCTGGGTCTGATGGTCCGGTCTGTTTGGCCCAGTGGACATCTTCACCTTCTGGTGCCGATTTCGTCCGAGGCAGGTGGAAGTTCTTGGTGGTAACGGTTCTGTCGGTCTCGCATGTCTCTGACGTTGTCCAGTGAGACGTGCACCTTTGGGTCGAAGGCGTTGAGACGAGGGACTGTAAACTCACCGACCCTGGCGGTAGCATAGAATATGGTCGTGAGGCAAGCGAATACTGAAGCGTCTAAGGGATTGTTTAGATTGAGTTTTCCTCGTATAGCGACGATGAGGTCGACGGTATAGGGTTCGCGTTTGTCTCTTTTGGCACTGGTGGGTGTTAAAGATACGGCCGCTTTTAACATGGCATCTATACCAGTATCATTTAAAGACCATTCTGCGCCGTGCACGATGTGCCATGCGCGTACTCCGTTGACGTAGTTGGACACCGTTTTTCCGGAGTAATGGCCGACCATGCATGATATGAACGATTCGATTAGGATATTGCTTGCTGGGGCTCTCTGTTCTTCTGGGATGGTCTTACTATCACAGAAGACGTGGAACACGAGGAGCCCGGATCCGTACGTTTCTCGAGTACTCTCTGCGTATGCGTGGACCATCACATCCCGGATCCGGTCTATATCGGCGGCACTCAAGGGGAGATGCTTTCCTTGTGCGTCTTTCGACGAGCGCTTCATCAGCGGCTGCCAGAGGTACAGCCTGTCCTTTGCAGGACAATGTGGGCGCAGCTGGCAAGGGATGGGAGTTAGGTTTGTACTATAGGCTACGTTTGCTAGGTGAAGGTCTGACCCGCATTTCTGAGGTATTTTGCTTACAAGTTCTTTGACGCTTCGAAGAGCCTATTTCCTTCTGCCTCAAATCTGTGGTTGATGCGGGTGCGACACTGGTGTTCGTCTTTCCCATGTCCTCTGCCCATTGGGTGAAACAGTTTGTGCGAGCGGGACTGGGACTGGTCGCTCTGATTCGGGTTGCTCGAAGGAGGGAATGGGGATTCGGAGGCTTCTGCGAGGAAGGGCAGTAGTTCCGGTGGGATTGGGATGGGGGGAAGCCTGTCACATGCAGGGGGATATATCCCGCGGGAAGGTCCGTCTGCCGGGTTCTCTTTACTTGGTACGTACCGAGTAAGAATTGTGCATTCGGAATTGGCAGCGACCCGGTGAATTCGTTTGAAGACTTCGTTACATGCCTGGTTCCTGCTGCATCCTTTCCACCAACCCTCAACGACTCCCCGATTATCGCCGTATACTTTGAAGTAGGTTCTGGGGGGGCAAGCGTTCGTGATTGATTGCACGAGAAGTTCGAACCCAACGCTTTCTGCCCAGCCGATATCGCGTCCGTCTCTCTTCCATCCTGGTAAGAGCTTCCACGTGCGCCATTTTCCATTGATGACGATTCCGATCCCATGACCAGAGCTAGCGTCCGAATAGGCGTTGAAGTCGTATACGACGCACGGTCCTGGGATTGGGCGTGTGACATGGGTGGAACTGAGGGTGTCCTCCCACCACTTAATGTCGTCTGGAGTGCTGCGCGGAGGAGTTCTGGCCATGTGCGGGCGGTCTTCGAAAATGCACAGCATTTTTTCCAGGCTGGTAAGGTACGCGCGGCCCGCCGGTTTGATAAGCGATGCGTGTAAGAGTTTTCCATAGAGTTTCTGAACTTCTTGAAGGATGTGAGTTCTCTTAGCTTGCCACGCCTTGATGGCGTCAAGGTACTTAACACGTTTCTCGTTTGACAATGCGACTGTCCATCTGTCAATATCCCATGCCAGTCCGATGTATGGCGGTTCGTCACTGAAGGGTTTGTCCTTGGATAACTCCCAAATGATCCCCAGGGTGGTAGAGAGGGCATCGATGTCTTCCATACCGTATGTGAACTGCGCTTCTGTGCTAGAACGCGGTGAGCGGTCCGAAAGATCCTGAATGGGAAAGTGCGCGTCTTCGTCAAACTCTTCTTGTGATCCGTCTGATAAGGTTTCCCCCCTGTACCACTTACGTCCGCCGTTCGTGATGGCGCCTCCGTTCCTTGTGATTTCATTTGCCCACGACTCCTGTCTTCTATTATATTCTTCCATGTATGTCTTCTTGATACGGAAAAAAAGATGGTCGTCGACCCATTTTGACAAAGGGCCGATGCCTTTGGACCTGAATATATCAGCACCGGCGTCAGCCACGTTTCCGTAAATACCGGCTGATGGACCGAAGCCGAAGCAAAAGGATGTATCAATGGCGAAGGTGTCTTCGCCCAACCGTATTGCCAGTCCCGCCCATTGAGATTGGTGCAGTGGAACGGTCCTGTACGCTTCGGCCACATCGCGAACGGCTCCTTGAGAGCCTGGAGGGAGATGCCATATTGTTCGGCAGATGGTTGCGAACGTGCCATAGGTGCAGGGGAATAAATCAGAGTCGATTCTCGAATTAATAGAGCTAATAGTGGGGGGTGGATTGATAGGGTAGGATAAGTTCTGTACAAGGCGGAATTTCCCTGGTTTGCCAGGTTTTGGAACAAGTGAGAGTGGGGCCGTTTGGAAACTTCCAACGGCTGATTCAAGATCTCTGCCCGTGAACGGGCCAATGAAGCGTCCTTTCGAAAATTCACATTCAACGATCTGTTGGAAAACTTCTCCGTGTTCAATGATGGAGGCACTATTAGGGGGTGTATATGTACATCTAATTGGAGGTATGCCTCCTGAAAAACCGAAGACGAGTCCTTCTGTAATGGACGGGTATTTATCCAGCAAGTCCGCTTCCGCCAGTAAGCGGTGCCAGCTTTCTGGGTTATATGGTGTGTGCGCCTTAAGTCTTCTCGCCTCGATGGCATGACTGAGCTCCGTGTTCTTTGCTTCCACAGCCTGAGCATTCGTGCGGTGCTTCGTGGTTTGAAATCTGGCAACCCCCGGGGCGTTGCCACTTGTAACACACTGGGATTCCCTGGGGATTGATGATACGTCCGTCTTCTGTTCGACGACAGTGAGTGTTGGCACCATCCCACGTGGTGAGAGACGTGCATCGTCCGATATTGTGTGCGAAGCGGCCGAGGCAAAGGGCGCAGGCTGAGCGGCCGCGAGAGCCTGCGCCACGAGAAAAACCCCCTTGACGTTGTTGGCGGTCACGGGTGTTGTTCGGAGAGGTCTGTTTGCTTTTCTGGTTGTCCGGTTTCTGCGTGGGGGAGCGTGATCTTGAGTTATGGTTCCGGTGGTCGTTGAAACTGTCTTGAGGGTCTCGGTAGCTCGACCTCCGGTGCTGGTTCGACGATGTGTCCCTGCTGGGGGTCTACATGGCATTGTAGCATTGGTTGTCCACGTTATGATTGTGGGCATCCGCGTTATGTGTGCGGGCATCCATGTGGGTGGGGTTACGGGCATCCGCGGGAGAACGTCGCAGGCATCCGCGGGAGAACGTCGCAGGCATCCGCGGGATCATCATCGCGGGCATCCGTGTCAGACGGGGATATTGTTCGTTGTGTATACAATGTTTGTGAGTGAAGAAAGGAAAGGTTCATAAATTAGTGAGTTTATTCAGTATTGGTTTGGTTAAGGACGTACGACGTTTAATGTGCGAGATCGAACTTTGTCCCACAATTCTTCGTTAATCATGCGGATGAGGTTCTCGTTGACATTGCCGATGTTGAAACCTTCGTCTCGTTTGAGACGATCGTGCCAGTCTTGACGTACGCGGGACGCGTACGTCAGGATCACCATATCCCCAATGTCGCTGTTGTTCCGTATCGAGTGGTTCTCAAGGTGCCAGAAAAACAGGGAGAGTGCATCTATGTGAGGCCGGGGCCATTTAGCTTTGCTTATCTGTACGAGGAACAGATTCTTGGCTCGTAGAAAAATTGAGAATGATAACTCGTGGTCTGCTATGGCTGCCTTCGACGCTTTGAACGCTGATGTAGGTCGCAGCGTGAGTTGGTCGTCGGTCCTCGTTATGCTTAAGTCATTCTCTGCTATCGAACGCGAAGACTTTAGGGCATCTCTGCAACCTTCCGGAGAGAAATACCACAGTTCTACGTATTCAAAGTTGGTGAGTTTCTGAATCGCATATTGGGCAGGGCGAGGAGTTAAATAGTCCCCTACGGATGATGCTTCATCGAAGCCGTTCATCTTCGGTTTCTTCTTCTCTGCTTCTAAGCGCTCCTTCTCTGCTTCAGCTTCACGTTGGGCACGTTCTGCGTCTTCCTGGGTGATTCTTGCTCTTTCCGCTTCTGCTAATACTCTGGCTTCTGCTTCTTGATCTTGATTCCATTCTGCTATCCTTGCATTGTGGTCCGCATTCCATGTGTCTGAGAGGCGTGTCACGACTTCTTCTTCGGTCTGATTTGTGGCCGCTTGGAGGTCCGCGCGGATTCCTGCGTATGCGTTACCGGCAAAGTCTGGGATTACTTCGAGTGTGGGGTCGGCGACTAAAGCCATTATGGTTGATATTTAGGAATAGTGACTAGTCAGGTTGTGTGGTTTTGAACAGTGTTTTTTTTTTTTTTTTTTTTTAGAGAGTGTCTTAAGTAGAAATAGAAGCGAGCAGAGTGAGGCTCAGTGAGCTTGCACGGCGACGAACAGTGATCGCGGCACGAAAGCAAGAGTTTTGGTACCGCGTCTCTTGTTCGCTCGAAGACCTTACTCTATTTTTCCTCTCGTACCTCGTTACATAATAGAGTGCCAAAACACTCGCTTCCCATATCTGTCGGATACCGCGGTAGATAACCGCAACTTGTTCTTCGCTGATGATGAAATTGAGATCCCAGAACACTCATCCTGGCGATGGACGGCCTCGTCGCTGGATGGGTTGACACCAGTGTAAGACACAATAAGGTGGGGTCCACACGATATATTGAATGCCGATCAACCTAGCATCACGTAAGTTGGAGACTTTCGGATTCATAACTTGAGATCACTCACTAATAAATGAGAAACGAAACAGATCATGACACGCATTCAAGGTCCTTACCCGATGAAGATCCTTCGAGCGGTGTTGCAGGAATGCTGAGATACCACATGTCATGTATGGTCACGTCTGAAATGTGTTCAGTCACTTCAGTAGGAAGACGACATGTGAGCACGTGGAATGCACTAAGTAACTGGAAAGTGCTGTTGAAAGTTATTGATTGCTGCCTCAGGCACCTTCACATACTTGGTTGCTGTACTCATTGTGAATGATGGTCAATGTACTGGAAGTTATGCATGGTGATGTCGCGACTGTGTCATATAATCACTTGAAGTGGATGAGAGAGGACCTTCATTACATGGAAATCACCATTGCATCAATGGTTTGAACAGCAGTTATGGTTGAGTTATAGCAAGTTCAAATGATTGATGATGCGAGTGCGGGGTTGCCTTTTTCGGCAAACGCCGAGTTCACAGGTTGACTCTGCTTGCTCGCTGTTGACAACGACGAGTACACATCCATTCACAAAAACCCCATAAAATCCAAGGTGAGCGTTATTTCAGACTTTGAAAACTTCAAGATACGTGACTTGTGATGAAATGAGAGCCTTTGGATGGATCGACAGCGATCATTTCAGATGTACCCGAACACGTCGCTGACGCGTCCACTAGATGTCCGCTACCATTGAAGAACTCCCTTCGGACCACTCTGACCACGACCACGACCATGACCATGACCACGAGGAGGACCCCACCTCCCAGGCCGCTCTCGACAAAATTCAGTCTCGTTCAGAGCGAAAGGCTCGAAAGGCTCTTCTTGGTTTGGGTTTGAAAAAGGTTCCCAGCATCACCCGCGTGACCCTCCGCAGGCCCAAGAACGTGTTATTCGTTCTCTCTTCCCCCGATGTCTACAAGTCGCAAAACAGCGACTGCTACATCGTGTTTGGTGAGGCAAAGGTATGTAAGACGGTTGAATATATGTTTTGTTGTTGATGACTCGTTTTCATAGATTGAGGACATGAACTCGCAAGCTCAGATGTCTACGGCTCAACAACTTGCTTCTGCCGGTGGCGCAGGTGCAGGGGTCAACCTTGAAAGCTCTGGTGTGGGCGGTGAGGGTGATGATGATGACGACATCCCAGAACTCGAAGCACCAGAAGACGACGGACCAGTTGATGAGACGGGTGTTGATCCTAAAGACATTGAGTTGGTCATGGCACAAGTCAACTGCTCAAGGGCTAAGGCGGTCAGAGTATTGAAAGAGAGCGGAGGAGATCTGATTAATGCCAGTGAGTCCTTTTGCTGATTTCCTTGACCCCTTTGGCTCAATATCTGCCTATAGTTATGGCAGCGAGCGAATAATGTTCTGTCTTGCTCAGTGCTCAGATTTCTCGTCACTGTATCATATCACAGCTTTACTCGTGCAAGTTATTCGTATCGGGCACGTCCCACATAGGATGATGAGTCAAGATACCCAGCGCCGTAACTCGACATAATAATTCGACCGTTCCCATCCTTCTTGGATAATCTCAACGCCTCTGCATCCCTTAGCATTTGCACTCTCTCTCGATCCAACCAATAGTCCAAGCCCTTCAACTGCTTGGATCGTGAGCTGTTTGAGTTCGCCCTTTGCAAACATATGATAGTATCTGTTGTATACGGGAATCTCTGCCGCTAACGTCGGGGCAGTTGACACGACCTCTTTCGATGTAGCTGAAGAGGGGATGTCGTTTTTGAATTTCCCTTTCGCAGTGTGCTGGTTTTGAGACATCACCCAGGGAACAAAAACATCTTCGCCAGTCAGAGGGTAGTGATCCGATCCATCGGTGTCACTAGTTGAGATCGACCGTTTGGATAGCTCATCCTGCTCAATGGCCCACACATAGATCATCACGCGTCCGTGGACTGGAGAGACAGCCTGTAAAAGACGCTACAGAACATGTTGGTGATGGACTTTCTGTCCATAAATAAATGTAGCCCTCACTTGAACGGCAAGCTTTCGACGGTCGTGTGATGCCAGGTGATGGATGGTGGCTATAGATATGGTGTAGTCCTGACAAACGGCGGTCAAGACGAGTCGTCCTACGATGAATAATAGCCGTTATTACTCACGAATGCACCTAATCTCCAACCACTTCCAAGGATATCACCCCAAACAACCTCTTGAGTTATCAGACACCCAGGCTCACTCCCGGCGTGCTGGGCGATCTGGAGCAAGTTGCGACTTCGATCGAGGCCGATTGTTAGTACACTACTAGGGCGATCTGCGGGCAGAGGAAGGTATTTTCCATTCCCTGTTCCCGAATCCAGACCAATCCAGCCAGTTGGCAGATCAGAAAGAAATTTAGCTATGATAGGCCAAGGCTGCAGGACGCGATTGAGTCATGATGATTGAATTTTCGATACAACAATTCGCACCTTGTACCGAGTGGATGAAAAGTGAGAGGCAATCTGGTCATACACGGCGTGAACGTGTTGGTCTTCGTGTACTTGCGGATCATCGATAATCGTGATACTTTTTACGGGTTTCATTTCATAGATGGATTGGATGAGGATCGTCGTGGTATGGGTATGACATGAATATTGAGAAAGTACTGAGTCCAGCATGTGCTTTCAATCACTTCCTCAACACAGACTCAACACATATTAGATGAAGCCCATTTCCTCATCTACCAGCTTAGAGAATTTAGTCCCGTCGAAGGGAGGAAACGGAACTAGGTCGCGAGGTTCGAATGATGCAATTGTCGATGCGAGGTCTCTGGCAATCAACTTCATCAGACGACCTGGTTATGATAAATGAAAGGGCATACTGAATGGATGTCGCCTTTAGGTGACCCAAGATCTGAAGGGCAGATGCTAACTCCTCTTGGTGGTTATCCAACAGGGTTGGATTGGGTACGACAATAAGAGATTTTCCTAGCCTCAGGACATCCAGAATCGTTCCCGATCCTTCCTCATAGTTTGAGTTACAGCGTGTTCGAAGAGAGCAGGCAACTTACCAGCATGGCTGATGACGAGGTCAGCTTGCTCACACTCAGCCTGAATGAAAGGCTTGAACCTCCATATCTCTATATCCACACCGTGTCGTTGTATGGTACAACTGTCTCCGTTGAACTCTTCCGATGATTCAATGACGGAATTACCGCGCTGAATAATGAGGCGGTCGTAACCCGAGTCGCGAAGTGTACTAAGGACAGGTTCTGATATAGAGGCCTCTACAAGAGCATCGAACCTAGTTGAACCCACCGTCACGAATACGAGCATGAGATCGTTCTCGAGGGAGGCCCTCGATCGGGGTGCGGTCCGACTCAGGTAGGAAAACGTTTCCTTCTACAACTGGTGATTAGCGAATGCCGCGGTTGGTTTCGGGCTCGACTGAATTTAGCTCTAATGATCATGATGACTCGAAAATTTTTCTTGTTACTTCTATCTGTATCTTAATAACGACAGTCCACGGTGCTCTGCCATGGGATATACGCTTTGCGTGCTAGGTAAGTGAAAGGCTGTATATCGTCTTGCATACGCTTCATGACCGGTTTGCTAGGATGTGGGACTATGGGGATCGCAGTCATCTCCGGGGTGATCACCAGTTTGCAGTCCAGACTGAATACACTTGAGATCCCCAAGTGGGAGTCGCATACACCTGGCACATGCACTCCCACAGCTGACTCTCCTGATCCTTCACTCCCGTCCATTTTCACCGCAACCGTGACAAGGAAAGAGAGTGCACAAAAGCTCCAACATACGTTTGGACTCTTGGGAGGTCTTGGTTCTTCCGTTCAAGTTGTTGTCGGCGAGAACCTTGCAGCGGTTCAACAAGCAGATGTTATCATTTTAAGGTGTGTATCATTAGTTTGTGAATATTTCGTTTTCTTGAATCATCTTTAGCTGCAAGCCTCACCAGGCTCATGTTATCCTTTCACAGATTGGAATGCAGGAAGCTCTGGCTGGAAAATTACTCATCAGCATTCTTGCCGGTGTGACTATAGCCCAGCTTACCGGATGGGTTCCCCCGACAACCAGGGTTGTCCGCGCAATGCCCAACACTCCATGCAGAGTACGTGGTATCTCACACCTGTGAACAATCCCTGAGGATGCACACAGATTCGAGAAGGTATGACTGTGGTCAGCAACTTACCAATATCAGAGGAGGCTGAGCTCGATCGGTCCATCATCCTGAATATATTCTCATCTATCGGGCGCTGTCGTTTTCTCGAGGAAAAAAATTTCGACGCATGCACTGCGCTTTCTGGGTCTGGTCCCGCTTTTGCATGTATATTCTTGGAGGCTATGGCAGACGGTGGTGTCATGATGGGCCTCCCGAGGGCAGAGGCCCTCGAACTGGCAGCACAAAGTGAGACTGCTCGTCGCACCGCATGACCTGGCTTATTGTTTCCCTAGCTTTGCAAGGCGCGGCACGCATGGTTCTCCAAGCAGGAGCTCATCCAGCTCAAATAAAAGACTCTGTTACCAGTTAGTAATTCCCCATCCGAAGTTACTGCTCATGCTCATGGATACTTTTCTTGCTAAACAGCTCCTGGTGGATGTACGATAGCGGGCCTCTTAGCCATGGAGGATGGGAAAGTTCGCTCAACCATCGCTCGTGCAATTCAGGTCGCGACAGAGCGCGCTAGTGAACTTGGCCAGCCCGCGAAAAAATAAAATTGCATGATCAAATTAATGGTCATACCAGCCAATAAACAGAATAGTATTGTACTTTAGATATGTATCCCAATCCAGTCTTCAAGACCTCCAATGTAAAGGATCGACGACTGGGAGGGTGGCTGCGCACACTCGCTCAGTCATTGTTTACCTATTGCTCCTGTAAAATGAGGACGGTCGTGTGAGTTAACGACGCCGCCCAGAGTGTCAAGGAGCAAGATTCAGAATGTACTGGTAGATCTAGCCCGGCATCTAACAAAATACATTTATTCATCTATGGGATAGGTTATAAGGATATGGCCCCTGCAGTCACCACACACCGCTCACCTTGAGTACCTAACTTCAATGGCCCAGGTCAGCTAAGTTAAGATAAGGAAAGTGATCCACATCCGAGGGAATATATCCTGCGTGTGAACCTCACTGCTCTCTGAGCATTAAGCTCATCCACGAGGGCAAGCAAGTGGGGCAAAAATATGTCACAGGATGTCATTTTATATCGCTCATAAGAATGAGCGCCTCTCCGTATGAAAGCGGAAAGACGCTAAAGTGACAGAGCTCTAATTTGCAGACACCAACGACGACGAGAAGGTGAGGAATGAATGTGATTGCAATCGTAGAATACAGTGGTATCTAGTTGATCCAGATCAGCATCAGTCAATACCATTCATTGAAAATGTGCTTACGATGCATATACTACCGGTCTGGATTGGTGATATGGAATCAGTACTGTGCATCGCAGATAGATGAACAAGGGCTCACAAAACTCGTGCGTATCGTCGGAGCGTTTGACGGTTTGCTGTTGAAGGAAGAAAAAGTGTGAGATTTTTATACACCCACGCGAGACCAAACAAGGTACAAACAACTTACTTTCCACGCCTCTTCGAAATCAACTGGGAGAATGACATATCTGTTCTTCCGCACAGCTGTTGGACACAGAGCGATTACTAGAAATGCAGAACTGCCATAAAAATAAGCTGACCTTGAAGACCAGCTGCCTGTGCAATGGAAGATATTTCTGCGGAGGATAACCGATCTGGTCTTGACACATCTAGATGACATGTTCAGTAAACGCCTCATCAGAATTATTGACGAGAAAGTTGGCATACAATCTTCGAGGTCTACATCCGGACCAAGATTCATTTTACTAGTCACAGCCTGGAATATGAGACGTTTTTCACGCCTCGATGGTAGAGGGAATTCAATCTTCCTGTCAAGACGACCAGGACGAAGCAAAGCAGGATCAAGCGTGTCTGCACGGTTCGTGGCCATAATGACCTGTCATAACGGCAAAGAATCAGTAAAACCAGATATCCACTTAAAAAGTGTATATTTACCTTGACGTTGCTTCCTTGGTCGAAACCATCCATCTGATTGAGAAGCTCCAGTAGAATACGCTGTACCTCTCTGTCCGCTCCCGTTTGAGCGTCGAACCGCTTGGTCGCAATAGCATCTATCTCGTCGATGAAGATAATGGCAGGGGCGTTCTCCCTGGCAAGTCGGAAGACGTCACGGACCATACGAGGGCCTTCTCCCAGATATTTCTGCACGAATTCACTACCAACTACGCGAATAAAAGACGCGGTTGTATGATGTGCGACTGCTTTCACAAGCATGGTCTTGCCCGTACCTGTACATCATCGTTAGAACGCGCCACCGGGGCTTGGATGCAGCGCACCAGGTGGTCCATAAAGCAAGACACCGCGAGGCGGGTCGATACCAATCTTTTTGTAAAGGTCGAAATGCGTGAGGGGAAGCTCGACTGCTTCACGTATTTCCTGCTTCTGCAGGTCCATTCCACCGATATCTTGATAAGACACATCAGGTTTTTCCTCCTTTCCAAGCATGGCTATTGATGAATCGGCCTCCGGAGGAAGGATGTCCACAAGGGCATTTGAATGCCGGTGAAGGGCGACAGACGACGAGGGCTTGAGCAGTTCTCGGTCTAATGTCGACAAAATGCGCACGACATAGTTCGAGCCAGTGGTCGAACCCACGATACCAGTATGCTGGTCAATTGCCTCGAGGAATTGCCCGATGACAAGTGGGACAGATTTGATGCGCTTCACCTCCTCCTGAGCACGTATGAGCTCGCGTTTGAGATTCGCTTGCTCGTCCTTTATGTAGCTCTCTTGGATGTCGAAGAGCTCGAGATGACGCGCAAGCTTCTTGTATTTGGTATATAGATCTTCCTCTTGTAATTCTTTATGGAGAGCGACCTTCTCAGTTATGACAGACTCGAAGGTGGGTTCCTGATTTTATTCCATAAAACTGAGTATCGTTCTTGATCAGTGAAACACGTACCTCTCTTTGAATTTCCATGCCTACGTCCTCCATGATGGCAAGTATTGAAGTAAGTGTTTTGGCAGTATGAGTCCTGAGTGAAGCTGACGCGTTGGTATTAGTCGTGGTAAGTAATTTCCTTTCTTGACATTTACAAGCGAGTCTCGAAGTGTCCTTGGGTTTAGCTTTCTGACCATGGCGCACGTCGTTCAGCCTCTGGATCAGCCTTCGAATTACAAAGACTCCCAGAGCAGAGTAGAACGCGCCAAACAGAATGATCTTCTCTCCAAATCCACAACATTATACGTGAGGTTTTCCTCACGATATATCTCAACATAACTCACGGTCCTCATAGATCGGTAATTTAAGTTTCTATACCACGGAAGAGCAAATATATGAGTTGTTCACTAAATGTGCCAGCCCGGAGGACGGTGGAGGTATCAAACGAATAATCATGGGCCTTGACCGAAACACACGGTTTGTCGAGCCATAGTCATATGCACTCGACCAGAAACTGACGCGAGGACCTGACCAGCACACCATGCGGGTTCTGCTTCGTGGAGTACTACACTCATGCAGAAGCCCTTGCCAGCATGAAGTATGTTAGCGGTACCAAGCTGGACGAGCGTATCATTCGGTGTGATCTGGATCTAGGCTATAAGGAGGGCAGGCAATTTGGACGGGGGAAGAGTGGCGGTCAGGTACGAGACGAGCACCGCCAGGATTATGATCCAGGACGAGGTGGATGGGGTGCACAAGCGCAGAGGCTTGAAGCTGAGCGCCGAAGAGAAGTGGAGGAACGGTACGCGGACGCGCAAGAAGGACCTGGTGCGGTTGCTGGTGGAGGTGGTGACTGGAAAGAATCTGAAACGGCCGTTCCTTCACGGAAACGCGGACGGTCGCCAGATGATGAAGGAGACAACGTTCGTATGGTATGTTCATCCCGGTTCCAGGTGATTCAATAGTTGACATTGTTGCAGGGTCACCATCGTTCACGGGACGACATGGAAGTTGAACGAATGTGAACGTACTACTGTTACGGTTTACTTTCCTTATACTCTTACTTTTGGCATGAGACATCAAAATGTGAAATTATACGATAGTGATTATAGAATGCATGAGCCGATGGTCAGTATACGACACGAGCGCGCAGTTGGTATCTCCTTCCCCAGTGTTCTGGCTGATAATATGTCATGTGTAGTTTCCGTACGAGGCGATGAGCTTCAGGCATCGAAGTGGGCCGAACCAGGTATCGTGAATATAAGGAGAACGTATTGGCTGGGCTGTAGGTAAAATCATATCTCAGTCGCAGTTGAAAGTCATAAAACCAAACTTACAGCTCGACTTTGACGGCCCCAATCTTACCGTCTACATTATCCAGCCGGAAATCACGCAAGTAATTTTCAACAGCTTCTTCAGAGATCTTTCCAGGCAAGCCCCAGATAACGACATGCTTCATGCGGGAGGACATCCCACCATGAGGACCATTGCCAGAGAAAACCTTACGTTGCGTTCCTGTTCTGTCCAGCCCATGACCAGATCGTGGGGGAGGGGCTGATGTGGCTTTTATTGTCAGACTGCCCACAGATGCCTTTTCGAGTGCTTGCAAGTTCTTCTGCAAGTGTTTTGTATGAGCGAGGGTGAGATATGCGCGGCCTGTAGGAAGGAAGCGGTGATAGTCGATGGCGACTAGTGACAAAGAATGAACTGCGTCATATACGTCGCATTTAACAGGTGACGAAGCTTACCATCCGTTACACCTAGAAGTTGGTTGCGAATGCATAGTCTGCGCAAGTCGGTGAGGAGAGCTGAACGTGGCAGCTCTCGCAGCTGTATATGTGTCCTGCCCTCTGAGAAAAATTACACATTGGAAAAAGCCAAAGACTAAGTATCAGGACGTACCATCCACAAACCGCGGAATCATGCGCCGAATTGCTGTTGACTTGAACATCGGAGGGCAATGAAGTTAGTAAAGGACAGATTTCAGATGATTTGAATGACACCACGTGATCACATGCACTTTAGACAGTGACCACAATGTCAAGCAGACACGATGGAAGAAGGCGCGAGCGTAGCTGGGAAAGAGATGACAGGGATCGTGAACGGGGTAAGGATCGCCATCCACGAGGCAACAGAGCTGGAGGTCAAAGGGATGGTGGTCGTAAACGAGGCAGTAGGTCCCGTAGTCCAAGGAGGGGTACGTCAACTTGAAAGATCCTTTGCAGCGCTACACAAACAGCTTATTCTACCTATTCAGACAGGAGAGATCACGACAGGGATTACAGAGATCGAGACTATAAAAGCTCGCGAAGAGAAGACCACGACCGAGACAGCCGCCGAGACGATAGACGGCCTGAAAGACGTGATGAAAGGCGCGAGCCTCCGACTCGAGACAAGGAGCCAAGACACAAGGACCCCCAAAATCAGCGCGACCATCGACAACAAGTTGGCAGGCATGATTCTGAGAGGGTTTTAGAAAAGCCTTCACAAGCTAGAACTCCACCACCAGGTTAGGCTCATGTAATACTGCGCGAAGGCACTTCTCATCATTAATTCCAGTCCCATCTGCTGATGCTGGTCCCTCCTCTTCTCAAAAGAGACCGAACCTTGATCCAGATGCCCTATCTGAAGAAGAAGGGGAGGCCATGGATGCCGCCAACGCCGATGAAGAGGCTATGATGGCTGCAATGGGACTCCAAGGTTTTGGCACCACGAAGGTATGCAGGTCTTTTAACTTACTACGATATATAATTCACCTTATTCTCAGGGAAAGCACGTCGAGGGAAATCAAGAAGGCTTTGTCGATATCAAGAAGACCAGGACATGGCGTCAGTACATGAATCGGTAAGCTGCGCTCGCATGTCCACGTTTTGTTACTCATACCTTCTTCTAGCCGTGGAGGCTTCAACCGGCCACTAGATAAAGTCAAGTGAGTAGCTCAGCTCCAGCCCGCCTCAAGATAATTTGCATTTCCTCCCTTGTGAGAGACAGCTTTACTTCGATGCAGTATGTTCTCAGATATTGCTTCATCTTTCCTGGTGCTTTTGGAAATATATGCGAAGTCCAGACTTTTAAAAGCTTAGTACATGAGAAAACATCTAATCGATCAACAATCACTAATGTTACAAACGGCATACATAACACGTATACAGAACATGTGAGAATGAAAAACTATGCTGACAGAAATATCGGCGTTAACATCGAGGGTTTAAGTACACCCTCAGACGACATGGACTAGAACCCGTGCAGCTTGATGGTGTTCTTTGGAATGCCCTCCTCCGTGAGGAACTTGACAATCTTAAGCCTCTGATCACCCTGCAACTGGATGACTTGACCCATCTCCTCGTCGTCAACGAGAGTGCCGTTGCAAGCAAACTCCTGTGTGAAATTATTAGCGCTCGTAAAGTGATGAAGCGCATTCGCTCACCTTCTTGAAAGCCTTCAAGAGTTTTTTGGGATCATATTCTACAGCCAGACTCAATCAGATGATGACTCGCTGGTGAAAAGCCCTCAACCTCACCTTTGGGTAATCCCTGCAACGTGGTCAAAGTCTTCCTTCCATTCCTCTGCTGGATACGAATATGAAGGTAATTCTGCTGGGATCCAACGTCTTGGTTGCCTCCGAGAGGATCACCCTCGTCAGCAAAAGGATCTGAAAAGCGCCCTGTCAGCCAACCTCATGGAGAAAAAAATTCATTAGGCAAGCTTACCGAAAGAGTTCAGGTTCTGCACGTTCATGCGATGTGAAGAGATAGATACACTTATGAACTGAGTGGGGATGTGTTGAGACAAGATAGACGTTAAAAGAAAGAATGGCCTGGATACTTGTGGTGCGGCTCCGGAATTGGATAATCAGTGATTAGTCACCATCTAGGCTTCATATTCCTGTGGTGGCCGCCGAGTAGCCCGGAGTCTCAGATCTCAGGTTACAGCGATGATCACCGAAGGGACCAAACGCAAAAAACCTCCGACTTTTGGACACCTTCCATTCAATAGAGGTGAGCTCTCGCGAGTTTCATCTCGTGGTTATACTCAGATTATTTTTTCAGCCAAAAAACTAAAGCAGTCATGGGTTGAGAGCACGAAGATAAAATCTCAGTGGAAAGCCCAGAAAAAGCGGGAAGGTGTTTTTCAACGGAAACCCGAAGTGCCTTCCAATGGCGATCTACCCCCTGCACATCGGGAAAAATCTGATGGAAGTGACCCAGAACAATCGCACTCTAAGGATCAAGGCTCTCACTCTAACAGTCATCCTGAGTGCAAGCAGCGACAGGTCCCAAATAGCTCAGCTGATGGCGGGATTTCACTTCGAGAACTCGGCAAACAAGCTTACTCACGCAATTCCCTTCATACGTACAAGGCAAAAAGTAGAAGACATGATATAAAACCTTCTTGTGGTGCCAATCCGCAGAGAGGCAGCACCAGGGGAGGGCGCGGTGCTTCCTTTGGAGATCGAGGGCACGGGAAGGGACAACCCAACATGAAGTATCGAATGACGGCCATGCTCGAAAAAATCAAGCGCGATTTTACTTGAATGAGATACATACACCCCGTTTATCGTGGTACGTACCTTGGCGCCGGGTATATGTCACAGCTCTTACTGTTTCATTCCCAGTTCAGATGAAAGCACCGTCAATTTATATTTTCCTTGTCTCCAGCACCGTCTGCCATCCTTTGATCACTGCTATCTATATCATGTTGTCCCTCTCCTCTCACAAACCTTGTCTCCAGGGTATCCATGAATGGCTTGGAGTCCACCGTAGTGACAGCTGTAAGAGCTGTTGGATGACTACTCAAATGCCCTGGGCCTGGGTCATCCAATTCGTCTACTAGGCCAAGTCCTTTGGGTGGCATCCCTTCCAAGGCTTCGACGTGCCCCGTAGATTCCATGCCACTTAGTGCTAGAGGTGATGGAGGAGGACTTTGTGACTTTGAGCGTGCATCTTCATGATGAAAGAATATGGGAGAGAAGAGCGGAGTGGTCGGTGCTGACAGTAAACCAGCTGTCATGGATAATGAAGATATTGTTGGGCCGTCTTGATTGGATTCTTCCGCAGGGAAAGCGTCCCACGAGGATGTAACGAGCAATGATTTCTCTACCGCTCGAAGGTACTTTCCAAGAGCTTTATAATGCTGTTTTGGTCGTACGCAGAGCTCGCAAACACGTTGTATGGTGAAAGGAGGATCGCTAACGCCATCTGCAGTCAGAAATCGTTAATGACCACAGATGTGTACGCACTCATCAAATTCATGCAGTTGCCTGAAAATGAAAGCTTTGACCTCGCCTGCCTCTTGCTGGTTCATATACGCTTTTGGTACCTCACTGTGGTTGAGATCGTTCTGTTCGCGAAGCGGGAATGGCGGTAACTTCAAGTTACCAGCTTTGAGGAGATCGTCAGGCAACGGTTGGAATTCCACTGTATTGTGAGGCAGTGGATCTGCTAGAAATAGCGCGATATTCTAGATGTCGAAGTTAGCTTCGAAGATATGACTTAAGGGAGCGTTTATCACCTCGTCCACCTTGTATTTAATTACGTCGCGTAGTAGGGCCCATTCTATCCTGAAAAAGTGGACTTATGAGTTGTAAACGCATGGATCGGTTCACTAGAGGAGCGCACTTTGACTCTTCTATGTCAGAGTCTGCGATTTGCTCTAAAACTGCGTCATAATCTAGGTGGGGTGGTAAATTTAGGACCTCCTGACGAGTAAAATGTGTTCACCTGGGTTCCAGTGGAAGTGTTGTGATATGTCATATGCGCTCTCTGTCATGATGGCGGTGTTCAAACGAGAACGGCCGCGCTAGCTGTGGTCCATGTCCATGGGAATTTCGAACGCTCTGCCAGCAGATTTCTGTGCGTCTACTAGTATAGTACTTCCGCAATCGTATGCTATAACTTCGGTCCGAGGAGGAGTAGTGCAACCTCGGTGGAGGACGTTTCTGGTTCGCCAAGCTGGAGTATATATTTATGGCTTGGAATGTCTTACACACGATTTGAACACCTTGCTCCCATGCACACCTGCTTTTCCCTAGCTTAACCCTCCACCAACTCTTCGACGAGCAATTTCACGACAAACAATTATGGCCTCCTTCAAATTCTGGGAGAACCCAAATTATGACAGGACTACCAAACGAACTGACAGCAAAAGGCGAATGAAAATGATCAAGTCCTATGCTCCTGATTGGTCCGTCGCATCAGCTTCATATCACTTTCCATACTCATGATATAATCTATCTCTGTGCAGGACCATCACAATCCTTTTGGCGTACGGTCTCCCACTCGTGCATCAAATCATGAGTTTAGTTGATGCCTTAATAACAGAATTGTGTTCTTCGCCCTCGACGGCGTTCACGGCTTCCGACGAGAATTTTCGGTGCATGATGAAACGTGAGATTCTATATTCTTTCACAAAGAACGGTTGCTAATTTATTCGACGCAGCATATTTTTTCCGTGAGTTGGCACATAGCTCTGATCTGCCTTCAGCGGCGTGACCTCGTTCTTCTAGGTTTGCAGTTCATGAACGCGTTCCGGTGAGCTTTATAACTGGTCCTCAAAGTACATCGTAATTTCGGTTCGGATTTAGGATGTTGCCCTGTACTTTATTGCGATTGTGGCGCCGCTCGTCCTTCAATTGGTAGTGAATTTACTCACTGTTCGGTCCTTCTGGGATTACCACTGCAGCGCACTCGGGCGTGGGTCTTTTGAAGCTTGATGTCTTGTTTAAGCTCACCGAATTACACAGTCATCTTGGGGCTTGCTATCACAGGTGCCATCACTCAGTTTACGAAGATCACTGTTGGCCGTCCCCGTCCAGGTTAGTACTAGGCAACTTCTCCTATCTTACATCTGTTTTACGTGGGTTTGTAGATCTGCTCGCACGATGCATGCCCATTCCAGGCTCCTCGGACCCCACTTTTGGACTCTCGACAGATGCAATATGCACAAACACTGACACAGCTATCATGATTGATGGTTGGAGGAGCTTCCCTAGTGGCCACGCCAGCTGTAAGTCGTCATATCAATCCGGGAATAACCAAGTTGTGAAACATTTTCAGTGTCCCATGCCGGACTTGGCTTCCTATCGTACTATCTGGCCGGAAAGATGCACCTGTTTGATTCCAGGGGGCACGCTGTGAGTGCACGAATGTCTTCCACCCCCGGCGACACGCTAAAATATATATATCTCAGCACAAAGCTTGGATCTCTGTCACTCCTATTTTCGGAGCCATCCTGGTAGCAATTTCCCGCACCATGGACTACCGACGTCAGTTGATGTCTCAGTATTTGTTATATTTGACCTCATCTACATCCACACAGACCACTGGCAAGACGTCGTAGCTGGATCCATCCTTGGATTGGTTGTTTCATATTTCGCGTATCGCCAATACTTTCCTTCGCTGTCATCACCAATGTCTCATAAGCCGTATTCCCCGAGAGTACAACGTGAAGAGGAGCTGCCTACTGTCAACCCCGCAATTGACCACCACAGTATGTCCTATACAGATGGCATGGAGGGAGAAGAAGTGGAGTTGGTTGATGGTAGTATGCACAAGCCTGATCCAGCTCTCACTGGGGGAGAAGGGGTCGACGGTGGCGCACCACGCCTCTAAGTGTCCTTCAAAATTCACTGGACATTCGATTAAGAACTTTTTCGTTATTCTTTACTGGACGGTTCCCATAGCCGTACATAATCACGTATTGCATGTAGTATGATATGGGGAAAGGACTGCTGTTACTCAGGCTGCGACGACTGACCAAATTTGAGTTCAGGCATGCGATTTACATTAATGACGAAATTTACCAAACCAAAGTAAATGTCATTAAGCGTTCTGACGTAGGTGTGAAGCGTCGAGTCATATGTTTAACCCCAAGTAGACCACCGGTTGTCTTCGACCTTGACGTGCAAAATATCTCAGCGCACATCATTCACTCTTCTAAGAAAGTCTTCATACCATGGAATCGCGAGCCATTAACTTTGGTGCAGGTCCATCCGCTCTGCCCGCTTCCGTACTTCAGGAAGCCACCAAAGGTCTCCTGAATTTCAAGGGAACCGGTATGGGTATCGCTGAGATTTCGCATCGCTCCAAAGAGTTCACGGCGTATCTACAAAGCGTCGAACAAAACATCAGAAAACTTCTCGACATCCAGCCCACACACTCTATCTTGTTCACTCAGGGGGGTGGATCCGCGCAGTTCTCAGCCGTCGTGCTGAACATGCTGGCGCGTCACCGTCTCCTCCATCCTCAACTGACAGACGAAGACCGAGTACTGGATTATGTCGTCACAGGATCCTGGAGTAAAAAGGCGGCCGAGGAGGCTAGGCGCATGGGAGGGAGCACCGTTAACATTGCAGCCGATTCACGCAAATACTCTAAAGACCAGAAATCCTTTGACAACATCCCAACCGCAGATGCGTATTCCTTTTCAAATGATCCAGCTCTGATCTACTACTGTGCCAATGAGACCGTCGACGGCGTGGAGTTCTCGGCTGAGGAAAATTCACCAGCCTCCTTTCCCTTCCAGCTTCTCCCAAGAAATGCACTTCTCCCACTTGTTGGAGATTACTCGTCCTCCTTCATGTCAAGGCCAATTCCCCATCTCTCAGACCACGCTATCATATATGCTGGCGCGCAGAAAAACGTCGGCCCCGCTGGTCTCACCATCTTAATCGTCAGAAACGATTGTATCGTTGACGTCGACGCCGCTGCGAGGCTCGGGGCTATTCCAGTCCCAATCTGTCTTTCCTACAAAACGCTTGCAGATCATAACAGCCTTTACAACACTCCCCCGGTACTCTCCATTTACATTACTGGTCTCGTTCTTGAGTACATGCTCCAGCTGGGAGGGTTGGACTATTACGCGGGCCTGACAAACCGTAAATCGAAAAAGGTGTACGATGTGCTAAAGTATGGTGAAAATAAAGGCATCTTCAAAGGTAAAGTGAAGGAGGGCTCTGGTAGCCAGATGAATATTGTCTTCGACGTCCTTGGCGAAGGGTTGTTAGCCAAGTTCATTGCTGGTGCAGAGGAGCGAGGCATGAAGGGTCTCAAAGGCCATCGGTGAGTCCTTGCCTTTGCGCGTCATACATGACCACCTTCTCATTATTTCCATGCAGTTCTGTAGGAGGTATGGAGCATTATCACCTCTATACATAGTTTAATCACTGATGTTTCATCTATCCAGGCATCCGGGTGTCCATATATAACGCCGTAACAGAAGAAGAGACGGACCTACTCATATCGTACATGGAACAGTTCGCAGGACAGCACAAAGTTGACAAGGAGTGAACGGAGCATCAGTAGGAAAGAATTGGGTAAATCAAGGGTTCGGACCACAGTTGAACGTGCAGCTATACATTTGTATTACCCAGCAACCAGAGCCATACGCCAGGCATCAACTGCATGGATGTTTTCGTAATAATTTATTTTGAAAATCTGATCTATGCATTTAGCGACTGCTCATTATGCAATGAAAGCCAGATCTCCAAAGCAATGTATCATCCAATAGGCACGAAAACGATTACGATAATATCTAAATGGATATCCAGAACACCAAAGCCTACAATCAATGCAGCCCATTCGCACCACGATCACTCACATCGGACGGTGTCACCAACCCGCTATCACACCCGCTATCCTCATCATCCAGCCCATCCAACGCAGCCCTCAAATCCTCCACTAAATCCTCCACCTCCTCGATCCTCCACCTCCTCGATCCCACAGCTCAAACGCACCAGCCCCTCAATACCCAATGCCTCACGCTCCGCCGGCGGGATACTCGCATGCGTCATCCGTGCAGGTAACTCCGCAAGACTTTCCACACCACCCAAACTCTCAGCAAGCGTGAACAGCCTCAATTTCGGCAGAAGCACTTCTGCACTCCTTGCACCACCATGTAGGCGAAATGAAACCATCCCGCCGTAAGGTATACCGTGCGCAATGCTCGATGGAGGTAGGGTGCTGAGGAACTGTTGCGCGTGTGGGCTGAGGGAAGCGCGTGCTAGGGCGTGTAGCGAGCGCGAGGCGAGACCGGGGTAGATAACGTGTTCGACAGCGGGGTGCGAAGTTAGGAAGGAGGCGATGCGGAGTGCATTCAGACCGTGGGCCTTCATCCGCACTGCGAGAGTTTTGGCGCCGCGCTGGGCGAGCCAACTGTCGAATGGACTCGGGACAGCGCCGTGAGCATTTCGGAGGAAGCGGAGCTTTTGGACGAGGCCTTCGTAGTCTCTGTCTGGTGTGAACGAGGAGGGAAGGATGGCGGCGCCCATTACGACATCAGAATGGCCGTTGACGTATTTAGTGAGGGAGTGAATAACGATGTCGGCCCCTTGTAAGAGTGGGGAGGCATAGAATGGGGAGAGGAATGTGTTGTCGACGAGAACGAGGGGCTTTGATGGAGCCCGACGCGCGAGACCCACTATGCGCGGAATGTCAATTAGTCGGAGGGTGGGATTTGTTGGTGATTCGATCCAGATAAGCTAAAGTATTCACATGAGTAGCTGGCTAAATTCAAATGATAAAAGACAAACCTTGGTATTTACCCTTATAGCATCTAATATTTCATTGTCTGTGGTGTTCTCCAAGTCTACAAACGTCGACTCGATACCCATGGTTTCTTTCGCAACCCTCGTAAGGTACCTGAACGTACCACCGTAGACATCGTTCACACTTAGGATGTGCGCGTTTGGACCTAGAGACTGCAAGACAGTCGCTGTCGTCGCGCTGCCCGAAGCAAACGCGATAGCGTGTCCTGCGCCTGCCTCCAGGCCTACAAGCGTACGCTCTAATGCATCACGATTTGGATTGCCAGAATGAGAGTATTCAAAGCCCTATTCACCATACACATGTCATAAGTATGCTAAGGTATGTCGAGTCAAACTGAAACACGGACCTTGTGCACGCCTACTTCATCTTGCTTGTACGTCGTGCTAAGACGGGATGACGGCGCCAGTTGTGGGGTCTGGCTCTGATCCTATATGAATAGCTCGCGTAGAAAAACTGAGCTCAGACGAGCGTTTCGGATGACGCTTGACGCCTTTTGCATACCCGCTGGCGTGGTCGTTGGTAGTGAATATGGAGATGGTCATGGGTATCGGTTATGTGAGGTAAACCTGTCGTGTACGGATGCAGAAGACTCGCACTGCCAGCAATTTAAATTTCACCTCCATTGTATTTGCTTTGGAATGATGGCGTGAAGTCGCTGACAAAGCGCTTGCAATCCTGTTGGTCACTTACTAATTCCATCAACTTGTGGAGTGACTAACAATTGTCACTTTGAAGTTTGGAGCATCCTGCGCCGGAGAAGATGGATACGACGAAACGCACTCGAACTCGTCCCATGCAGAACCATACGGTACAAGCAGGATTGGTATCAGGGAAACCTAAGGACATACGTTCAGTGTTTACTTTTGTGTGCACCCGTGCTGCCGCTATGTGATCATTGGAAAGCCCCTATTTTCATCTTCATCTTCTTCTAACTCTCCTCACCAATGGATACCGAGTTCGAACTCTTTGATGACGACAAGTCCGATGTCAATGCGCCTCCATCGTACCATGCAGTTTCCATGTCCTCAATATCAGCAGATTCCGTCCAATGCGAACCATCATTCGTATTTTCCAAGGCACAGACCAAGCAGATACGGACCACCGTTCTATCTCTCATCCGTGGTATGGTCATCACACCGGATTTCATTCTTTCCTCTGTCGGCCCAACTCTCGACGCCTGCGCTACTTCTCTCCCAGCTGCAGAGTTCACAGACATCCTTCAAGAATCCAATATCGAAGGTCACACTCCCTTGTATTGGGCCATTGTGAATAAACGGCCAGAAGTTCTTTCGGCTTTTCATAAATTCATCACTGCATACAAGAATGATTCCTTCCACGACGTGCGTCTAGCATGTATGGTAACTAACGACCATACATTATTCACGAAGTTGTCATTGACATCCGCTCGGCTTCATAGTGAGTACTGGTAATCCCTAGTCCTCAGCGAGTATTGATCATCGCGCCTCAATCAGAGATGGAAAGGACTTTGAATCTATCTTTAGGTTGTGCGGATGAGATTCAGGTGTATGAAGGAGATACAGAGAATCAATTCACTGCCAAAATGCAGATCACGATGTTCCAGACACGCATACGCGTTGTGCAGAAATTGCGCATGGAATTTATCGCGCAAGGTATGTAATTCGTGCCTCTACAGCTGTTCCTTACACACATACCGACCTCTGCAGGACGCATATGGGGCTTGCTCTTCCATGTAGGAGATGATACGAGATGGGAAGCCAGCATTTATCTTTCTAAGCATAGCTTGCCAGCGCGTCCAAAAGCTCTTCTTACGGTAGAGGCCCAGAACGAGCAGCATCAAGTTCTGAAAAAGGAGTTCAAATTGAAGGAAGGCTGTTTCCTTGCAGCCTCGGAGTCAGTTAATTTGTTCTGAGTCATCCGAAGGCATAGCACTAATGATTTCTTTGCTCCCCCGGTCGTCGACATAATACTTGCTGATTGAAAGATACACCAACTTTTCCATCCGTACTTGCACCTCCACCTCTGCTTCGTTGGGCAGTTGGCCGATATTCAAGTAAGTGTTCTACAGGCGCATTGATCTTATCAACTAACGTATTTGTGACTTCTCCTGTGACGGCTTGAACTGACTCTGTTGTTTCAGCGATACCATATATATGGACTCCAATGGCACCCTGCATGCAAAATTGGATGTGGCATTACAGTAGTACTGGTTGACAGCGAGAAGAGGTGGCCTGGGACGGTGTAGCTTAAGGACGGTCAGATATGTCTACTAGATATTGCTATAAGACTTTTTTTCGAGATATTAGTTGAAGCGACGTCTCCAGCCACATTAATGTGAACGAAGTAACTGCGGCCTATCATATGACTCTCAAAGTATTACAATTGTAGTTGGACTGCACTAGATGTGGTTTCCAGGCGCCAGAACCTTCCGCCAAGGCTAGTGAATGTAACATGAGATATTGTACGGGTATGTTAATGTATGTATCTATGTATCTATGTATATGTTGGAATCCATCTACGGGTATAGATGATCATCACGCTGTGACATCTATAACCGTCGACGACCTCCTGTATTGTGGTACCCACATATCTTGTAGAGGGAGAATGATCCACCAGAGTAAACGAATGGGCCACACTGCGCGCTGCAGCAAGGTAGCCCGGCGTCTGTGAACCCAGTTCTGTTCTTGAAGCATGACGACGATGTAAATCGTTACAAGCGTGAGCACAACGGTGACCACCATGTAGTGAGCGAGTGTTTGTGTCCCATTATCGATCTCTATGACGTTCATTCCAAAGATAGACTGAAGACATGTTCGGTCAGAAAGGATCTGCACACACGACCTTTATGCTTACTGCAGTAAAACTTGCTGGTAGGAAGACTATCGTGAGGTATGTAAACCTCTGCATCCGCCTGCTGTCCTCAGTATTAACAATCGCAAACGTAAAGTCCATCGTATTCTTCAGTCGACTGCTCAGCATCGTCCGTCGCCTTTCTAGACGATCAATTTCGCTGAGGAGATTTTTGCACTCCTTCTTCATAAGTGCATTTGAGTCCGTGCGCTCTTCGTCAGTAACCTCATGGGACTCCATGGCCGGATTGGAGGTCGTCTCGATAAACGTTACTGCTACCTCGAAGTCGTGAAGGAGTGATTGGTAGTGTAAAAGACGTGCTTGAAGGACATGGAGGTCATTTATAAGTGAGATATTATCCAGTTGCAGTACTTGTAGTTCCTGGATGTGTTTGAGTAACATTACTTCCACGCTGCACAATAACTACATACCAGCTCGCTAACATGGCGAAACAGCAAATCAAGGGACTCATCCCATTCTCTTAGCGCATACCATAAAATTGCGAGGAAAAGGAATGTCGGGTCTTTGGACTTGCCGAATATTCTTTGCCAGTACATGCTTTCCCCCACGAACTGTATGAGAGAGCGGAGGTGCTTCGCAGGTGTTCGGTGCCCTTTAGACTCGGGATGATAGGATATAATAGTGTTTTCTTCTACGTCACGGACCATGTGGATTGCGAGGACGTCAAAGAAGAGTACGTGGCCATCTATAAAGGATGTTTGAGCGTGAAGGTATTGATGTGAGGACATCAATACACATACCGCCTGTCGAAAAGGGAGCCTGGATATCGATCAGGGTATCTGCCGGAGGTAAATCGGATGGCTGCGGCAGGTGATGAGTCACTCACCAGTCACGGAGTCCCATGCTTTGGGGTCAGTTGGTGACCGGCGAGTGTGTGGTGATCGCGATTCCTGCTGCGATTGTAAAAACGGTAGGACAATAGTGATATCTATCATGCACATGAGCCATGCGACCCAAAGTTGAAGATTTAGACTTACGATCTCCTTTTCCATGGCGAAGCGTGTCTTGATATCGTGAAGGTGTCCAGTGGAGGGAGGACGTGAAAAAGAATGGCTCGATATTGTATCTATGTATGAGGCTTTCAGAACAAGTAGAAGAGTAAAAAATGTCACATACTTTGTCCCCAACATGCGCAAGACCGGCTGCGTCAAATCATCCACAAATAACCATCGCACTCGAATGTTTTCTGGTCGCTACGATCACATCTTATATAACAAGCATATCAGATTTAACATAAGACTCACGTTGTGCTGTAGCATGTCCCAAAACTGATTCAGATCCTTTGTTGGCACTTTTGTAGTACCAGGGTCATTTCCTCCCATATCTGGGATGGTAAACCTGACGACGTTTTCAGAGTCGCACACATCCATCCAGTAAATGGTGCTAGGTTGATCCTTTGAACACTTTTCGAACATCTTACTTCGCTGAACTTTATCTGGGGTCCAGTTCCTGAACTGGTTCTGAGGGTAGCCCTGCCAGGATTGATTCACGACGGTTGTATCAGTCAAGTCAGAATTAACGTCCAAGTTCATCCATGGCCATGGTCTCGACGGTGCTGCATGCAGGTGCCTAGGAAGAGCATAAATCGGTCAAAACAAGGAAACAAAGAGGGTATGAAGAAATCTTACATGGGATCAGGCGCTACACGTGGCAAAGCTGCACCCCTCAAGGTTATATCTTGAGAGATATCAGAGCGTTTTGTGCTGACCTTCATGATGGCTGCTAGCTAATTCGGAGTTGGATTTAGCAGTTCATGACCCGCATGAATTCCGAACTTATATACTAATGGTTGTGGTATCATGTCAGCACGAGGCACTGACAGAAGTACTGAAGCGGAAGCAACCTTTTTGAGGTGACACACATCCGCCGCTCAGCCGAAGCCCCGTTAGTCGTCGGAACCTGCATAATGTATGTTGCTGTGCTGCCAGTCACTGGCACTGACCAACACGACAGGGATCAATCATCACAGTACTAGTCCTGCCCTTATATGGTAAGTCTGAAGAATCATTGCTTCCGATAATTTTGAAATAGCAACTTAGCATTACATAAATCACTTCATGTCGGATACCCAACCAGCTCACCACACAAAACACTTGCCTGTTCTCGCATATCCGCTTAATAATGTCGCATTCCATCTTGTTCAGCGAGATGACGGTATAAGCAACGGGACTGCTCTATGGCTTGGTGCCCAAGTCCTATCCGTCTACCTTTCTGCCGAATTCAAGGGCAAATCCAAAACGATCGAGACTGGAACAAACAATAATATGTATGATACAGCACGCCCCAAGGCCGTAGAACTGGGCAGCGGGATTGGCCTCATGGCGTGCGTTCGATTGTCCATAGATGACCGTGAAGAGGATCACTCACCATCATAAACATGCTCTGCCGCATATGACGGGTGCTTCATGGATTCTAGTCTTGCGCTCGCATCTCTAGGGATACAATGTCCTTGCTACCGATACCATGCACGTCTGTGCGTCTGTTCTGCGCTCTAACATCAATGCGAATGCGCATCTCGTCCCTGGGCGTGTTCATGTGCGTGAGCTGGACTGGGGTGTCAACTCTACGGAATGGAAATGGGACGATCATGTATCGATCACATCGCCAGCACCTTTGCCAAGAAGAGGCGATGACGGCCGCGATTTCCTCGCCCCGCCATTTGATCTGATTGTGTCGAGCGATACGATCTATGATACAGCACTTGTTGCTCCTCTATTCGAGACAATCCATGCGCTTTCTGCTCTTTCATCCACCACACCTATCTCCCCGCCATCTTCACTTTCCAGTATCGAAGCATCACCTGCACCACCTTCTAAATCCTCTGGAACCCCAACCTACAAGCCTCCAATCATCTACCTTGCTGTTGAGAGGCGCGACCCCACATTCATCACGGCCACATTTAGACGTGCTAGCGAGGAGTGGGGACTTTTGTTCCAGCGTGTCCCCGAGAAGAGGCTAAGGCGTGCCGGTGTAGGTGTAGGATGGGATGCTGGGGAGTGGTATGGCGTGGAGGTATGGCGTGGAAGATGGGATGGGGTTACTGGGGCTGTCAAGTAAAGGTGATCTTGTGTGCTGTTGAAAGATATATGGAGTACAGCAGCGTCAACATAGGCGTTGGGCATTAGTCGTCATCCAGTTGATTCTATGACTTTTTTTGGAGTACCCCTTCGTTATTGCAAGTTCTCTCACTCAATTGGAATGAAGACCAGCAGATGCTAGATGTGATTAAGTCTAGTATGTGAACATCATCCAGCAGGTGGGTTAAAATATGGAATGTTCGAAAGATCGGACGAAGTCGTGAATACGGAGGTAGATAAGTAATGAAGTCATGGGCATCGTAAGGTCATGGCTAGTCTGTGGTTAGTATGTTCAAAATGTACCAAGGGTTGTACACGTTTTTGTGGTCTCGTCCTACGTGAGAGGTGATTGGCATTCGCGTAAAGATGGAAATGAGAGCGACCTGACGTACATGGCATGAAAAGAGGCATATGACTGCTCTCAGCCTCTTCCTCCCGACGCGTTGAAACAAGGGTGAGGGTACGATCAAATCCGTGGTTTGACTGAAAATGCAGGATTGAGTCGATTTTATCGCAGAGTGACCAAGATGAAAGATACGAGAGGATGGAAACAGGATACGAGGAACAGTGAAACAAAACGGCGTTGAGGGAACAAAGAGGATGGGTATAAGTTGGAGCACGTACCAAATCTTTCCATGTTTCTTCCTCATCATTCTCTGTCTGCAGCTGATATATCTGCGCGAAGCCTTTGAACCTACATGAAAATACAGGAATCAGCACCAAGAAGATTGGAACAATTACACATAGGTATGCAAGAAAAGTAGGAGAGATGAAAGAATGGTATATCACGCACGTCAGCTCGCCTTCTTCAGTGACGTCCAAGAATTCTCTGAGCTCCTCTTTAGTCTCTTCACTAAACGGTGCGCCATTCGTGTCTTCTGCCCACGCGTCTAGCCCTGCGGCGTCAAGAATCGCATCATCAGGGGGCGTGAGGAGAGTCGTAGAGTCGTGTTTTTGGGGGCGCGGCGGGCGCGGCGTGCAATATTTGGCGAAAATATGACGAAGACAGCGTTCGAGCTGTACAAGCCATGTAGATCAATCGGCACAATTATGCAATGTCAGGATGCGAGTGAAAAAATACCTTGTCAGAAATTGCACCGTCGGCGTCAAGCAACTGGGCATCATTGAACTGGGCGTTTCGCCTGCCCTGCTTCGATGATGGCTCGGGCGTTTCCGGGCGAGGGGACTGCATACGCAAGTCAAAATCGTTGGGCGCCATCCTCGTGCTGGCTGTTCGAGCTAGAGCTCGATGGCAGATTGATGCTTGGATCAAATCACTGAGATAGTTGAGCGCGTGCTCATCGATACATCACTGCCGCACGTGGCCTTATTCGTTTTCTATTATATAAGGAATACATTGTAGGCCCATAGTCACTGAACGACTCGGAATACTACTGCGGTCACTGACCGGCAGAACACTGCTACTTGCTGCCAATTTATCTCCTCGATTTCTGCAGTCTTCCGCACCACAAAGACGGCATATATACGGAAACTTCATTCTATCGATAGCAGCATAGGATATAATTGTGATTTGGGCGTCACAGTGGATGACCGTCTCACTTGCCGCAGGGTTTAGAACGTCGTTTTAAATCTAAATCTATATTCTCAAGTCCTCGTGCCGACGTGCCGCTATCAAACGTCAGTGTTTTGCAAGTTCGAGTCTGCATCCAAGTGAGCATCTAGAAGGGGAGTTCTGCCCTTCTAAATTCAAATGGCGTTCAAAATCTAAACGAGCCTCTCAAGCTTCGTGACTAATATGTTGTCACTTGTGCCGCACACACAGTCGCTTACATGTCATTTGACACCTAGACCTCGACATTGTACATTAGACAATTGGTCTGCGGTTTGGAAAGCATTTCTAGATTGCGACGAGGTGCGAAACGTCTATATGATACTCCGACCTTTAAGGTTTGAATCGGAATCTAGGATGCGGAAAGTCGCCCAGTGATATATTAAAGAATTCGCTGTACTTTTGCCACTGGACCACGGATAGCATCAGAGATAGCCCAAAAGCCCGTCGCTGTCCCACAGAAAAAGCAAGTCAGCTGTTCATTGGCTCCCTTGATTCTAGCGATACGTTGAACGATGGTATATCTAGCACATTTGAGATTATTATACACCCTTCAACATCTCCCACTCGCTCACACGCATCTCGAATATGACCGTAGTCTCAAATGATCCTAGCTGGTTTCCGCTAATCAATTCGAATATTTTCATGACCTACTGGGCAGGTTTGTCGTATTAGTTGGTGATATCTTGATCTAACATCAACGATTTCGCAGTTACAGCCGCCGTTGTGGTGGTATATGACTGGGGTGAGCGGGACAGTGTTCAAAAGCCGCCAATATTCTTATGATGTCTCCAGTGTTGACACTGGAACAAGAGGTAGGTCGCTGCTATTGATGAAGCAGCCAACTCACTAAGAATGGTGTATAGATCGAACTGATCTGGGTGAGTGACAGGCTCAGAGTATCACATCAGAGGAAATAATAAGAATACAATGAATTCGCAACAGAGGCAACACTGGTCTCTCATGACCGTGCTGTATTTGATTGTTCGTACTACCTATAGCATGGTCGGCAGTTGTGCTAACTCCAAAATTTGTCTAGATACGCTATATTGGACTGCTGTATTCTGCGTATGTTTCGGAGGTCAACAGATTGGTGCTGTGCTAATGGCCTTCTCATAATCAGTATCAGCATTCTGGGTATGTCTCGTATGCGCTGTGTTCGATTCGTCTGACCTGGCAGCACACAGTAAATATGCCACTGGTCTCGGTGACAGATGCAGTGAGTATTCCTTGACCATCTCATTCCCATTCAATCAATACGCCCATGCACAGGGGTGAGTGAGATTCTGAACATTGAACTTGTAACATAATGATTACCCAGGTGTGAGTCGGAGTGTTTGATCTTAGTAGGACGGTGATCACTAATTGGGTGTTTCAGGCAATATCATATACTACGCAAGTAATGGGACAAATGTGGTCGTGGCTGCCATGTTGGGCAGTGAGTTACCCAGCTGCAATACCTTTGTGATATTAACTCGACTGAAACATGATGCAAGTAATCATAATTGCTCGGTTATATGCCATGTATCAGAAATCTAGAACGATGGTTATATTTCTTGTTATTATCTTCCTGGCGGTTAACATCTCTTGTGGAGTAATCGCGGCAATAGGACTTAGGGATTATGTACTGGGTAAGCTTTACTTGTTGACTTGAAGGATGCAGCTCATTGGACAACACTAGAGGAGTTGATCCTCTCTGGTAAATATATGTGCGGTTTTGCATCTGAGACGGATGTCCGGTTTCTGGGCTCAATCGTTTGGACGCTCAACACTGTTTGGGAGGTCCTCACCCTGTGTCTTTCAACCTGGATTGTTCTGAAACATTTCCGTGACATGCGACGGCTTGGTCCATCGACAGGATCGACTATCGGGGACTGTTTCAGAGTGCTGATAAAATCTCACGTGTTTTATTTTGCAAGGTGAGCTTGTAATGTGAATGTGCTTATCTTTTTCTGCTAAAGTTCCGTGCATGCTAGCTTTGTTTGTGTCTCTTGCCTTGAGCTTGCTAACACTTCTCCAAAGCTCGTGGTGCGCCGACCTGTCGCTGACATCTCCGTGTAGCTGATAATCAATTCTGCAGAATTCAGATTCTACGGGAACTCTGATACTCGAAGGTGCTCTAGACATTTTATTGAGCGTGCAGATGTTTGTGCTGGGACCTCGCCTCATCCTTAGCGTTCGAGAATATCACGCTAAACTACTGGCCGACTATGATGTAGAAACTGGCACGACTTCGATTGTCTTCCCGAAGCATGTATATGTACCAACTAGCAGTATCGTTTAGGGAAATGCTTGCCAAGTGCTCTGCAGAAAGGAGAAATTTGGTCGAGGGTCCGTCGATTTACACGAAACACATTTCTTGTTGTGTACTAAGTATCATTAGCTAATAGCAAACCAGTGAACATTAAAATATCGCTAACAATCGCAACAATCTCTGTAAATCTGGTGGGGGCATTACTTGAAGAGATCTGACTTCCCGCAGGAAAGTTGAGTTTGTGGAACGAAGTAGCTATGGCACCCACCCACTCATGCACCGAGTGGTAAGCTAAAATTATTCGGGATGTCTGGTAACCAACTCAGTCCTTGATGTGAATACTAAAGTACCATTAATGAGAAGCCGCCCATCGACAGACAGCTGATTTCACGTTAGAGTGGCGCTGTGGTACAATGTGACTGCAAGAAACGTTTCACATGTATCTCCCATGTGGACAACTTCAAAAAGGAGATTTCAGAAATATTGGTTCTCCAAAAACTTAATAATTGCAAAAAGAGCCCTATCACCCAATTCGGAACCCTAACGCTTCTTTTCAAGTACAGTGACGAACGCAGTGCAACGCACTGGTCGTCGAGTTCATCTAGGAGCACTTTGTGATGGCAGCACGAGCAGAACCACTTTCGATAGAGTCCTTGCTGCAGAAACAGAAGCAGGAACGGGAGGCTGCTGCAAAGGTGACTCTGGCCATCTTACGAAAATGGAATGCTGATTTAATTCATGTGCAGCCTAAATTCCTCTCAAAAGAAGAGCGTGCAAAGATAGCTATTGCAAAGCGTGCTGCAGAGCTCAGAGAACAACGGGAACGCGATGAGAAGTCACGGACGGACCGTGAAGCTCTAGAACGTGAAGCTGAGGAATTGAGGCAGCGGGAGCAGGAAAGGGAGCGTACTGCTAGGTACAGCAGTGCTCCTGCTCGACGTATGATTTCCTCTCATTTCGCGCAGCTGGTATTGATTACGTGCTAACAGATGATGACAGAGAGTCAAGATATGGACATCCTGAAAAGGATACCCGACATGGGCACGGACATGGACATGGACACGGGCGGAGAGGTCGAGGTGGTGGACCCCCTCCAGACGACCGTCGTGCACAACCCCCACCACCAAAACACATACCAAATGCTCCAACAGGTCCAAGGGCCGACCGTCTCAAAAACTCAAACACGCCTTCTGGTCCTGTTTCCTCCAGCGCATCCCCTGCACCCATTAGCACTGCTAATAGCACCAGCAATGTGAGTGGGAGCGATCCTCTTTCGGGGCCCAGTACATCCTATGTGCCTCCTATGACCGAGAGCGACCTCAGTGCCGTACGTGATCGCTATCTTGGCGTGAACACCAAGAAACGCAAGGTCCGCAAAATGAATGACCGCAAATTCGTCTTTGATTGGAATGTGGAGGAAGACACATTCTCGAGCGATTCCCCTGTTGCTGTTGGTGTGAACCGTCAGGGTGCGCAGGTGATGTTTGGTCGTGGCCACGTTGGTGGATTTGACGACGGTGGTGGCGAGAGGGTTGGTCGAGGGGCTGCAACTGCCAACTTGGCTGACGCAATGGAAAGAAGGATGGCAGCGAAAAGCGGTCTTGATGAGAGGCATTGGTCGGAGAAGCCGTTGGAAGAGATGAGGGAGCGTGACTGGCGGATATTTAGGGAGGACTTTAGCATTGCTGCTCGAGGTATGTCTGCTTATTCATACGTGTTGGTCGCGGGCTCTGACGATAACCTGAAGGTGGTTCGATACCCCACCCCCTGCGTTCATGGACAGAGTCACAGATCCCACAGAAGATATTAAGTGTCATCGACAAGATTGGTTACAAAGAGCCATCTGCTATTCAACGACAAGCAATTCCCATCGGACTGCAGAACCGCGATATCATAGGTATTGCAGAGACAGGTGCATTATTTCCCCCTCTACTCTCTTCATGTACTAACATCGCAACAGGTTCCGGAAAAACAGCAGCCTTCGTCATCCCTATGCTCACCTTTATCTCCAACATGCCACTTTTCACGGACGAGAACCGCCACCTCGGTCCCTATGCACTCATCCTCGCCCCTACGCGTGAGCTTGCCCAGCAGATCGAGGCTGAGGCACGCAAGTTTGCATCGCCACTGGGCTTCACTTGTGTATCTATAGTCGGTGGTGTACGTCACCACATTCTTCTCAAGTTTCGGAATCTGTACTCAATATCATGTGTCTAGCGTGCAGTTGAAGAACAACAGTTCAACCTTCGTGAAGGAGCTGAAATCATCATTGCTACTCCTGGACGTCTGAAAGATGTTCTAGAGCGGCATGTGCTCGTACTCTCTCAATGTCGTTACATCGTCATGGACGAAGCAGACCGCATGGTGCACCTCGGGTTTGAAACCGACTTGTTGTTCATCCTTGACAAGCTTCCGAGTGAGACGATGGCAGGCGAGGATACTGGAGCAATGGACGTCGACGGCGAGGAAGTAAGGAAGGGTCGTACTCGGGTAACGACCCTATTTAGTGCGACCATGCCTCCTGCTGTTGAACGGCTTGCGAGGAAATATCTCAAGAGACCTGCTACCATCACTATTGGTGAAGCTGGTCGTGCTGTCGATACTGTCGAACAGAGAGTTGAATTTGTCAATGGAGACGAGAAGAAGAAGTTTGTCTCTTTTGTGCATGTCTTCGCGGCACCATGCTAATCACGCACGTTTCCAGGCAAGTGATGCTGGAGATTCTGAACAGTGGCCAGTATCCATCACCGATAATTGTCTTCGTCAACCAGAAGAAGACGGCAGACATGGTTGCAAAGGATCTCTCACGTGCTGGGGTATGTTACTGTCATTTTGAAAGTTGGTCGCTGACCTTGGGTTTTATTTAGTGGTCCGCGGCAACGCTACACTCTGGAAAGACACAAGAGCAACGGGAGGCATCCCTACAGTCATTGCGTTCCGGGGATTCCGACATCCTCGTTGCCACGGACCTTGCTGGGCGTGGTATCGATGTGCAAGATGTGAGTCTTGTCATCAACTACCAGATGGCAGGTACCATCGAAGCATACGTGCATCGTATCGGTAGGGTATCTCCCTTATCTAGGTTTTTAAGTGATTTAACGATATTAATGGTGCAGGTCGTACTGGTCGTGCGGGCAAACAGGGTACGGCGATCACCTTCTTGACAAATGATGACGACGAAGTGATGTACGTATCTATCACAAATTTTTTTGATGGTATTCTTGCTGGATTTGTTGGATCTTCCTTCGGGGAGTAAACCGATGGCCGCCTGGAATTTCTTTTACTTGACTGAGCTCGGAACACGGCTGATTATTTGCTTCTGTAGGTACGATCTCAGACAAGGTACGAGTCTTTGCCCATTCTCATATGGATTTGGTTCCGCTGGCACGATGCCGCCTTTATATTCTGGTTCTATCGTTATCAATCCTGTCTTCGTAATGATCCTTTTTCTCTTTTTATCATGCTTGATATGTTTATCGATGTCCCCACTTGGTCGATCTACCCGGGATCCCGTCCCGTCCCACCACTCGTCCAAGCCAGTCGCTCTCCCTTTCGATGCTCTTGGACGCTGGTTTCCCTGGTTTCTGTGTCAATTTGCACTTTACTCGTTGATTTTGGGGTCAAACTGGACCTGTTTATCTTGTGTCATCTGTCAAGTGGCGTCATGGGTCGGTGGTTTTTGCGCTGTCTTGCTCGGTCAACGCTAGTTTCGTTTATATTTGCATTCCTATTTTGACCTGCAAGGTTTGCGTTTACTAACTACCCTCTCACACAGAAATATCCAAGAGCCCCGTGTCCAAAGTTTCGGCAGAACTCGCAAAGCACGAATCGGCGCAGCACAAGGTTTCAAGAGAGATGAGGAGGAAGCGTGATGCTGATGATATTGGTTGAGACTAGGACTAACCGAGGTTTGATCCGGAGCGAGACTTTTGGAGTAAAGTGTATACCTTGACTCGCTGCAGGCTGCGTGTACTTTGTACATGAGCTAACGGATATTTATCGGGAAAATGGTTGTCCGCTCCGTACCTGTTACGGTTGCTACAGGGATAGGATCACCGTGCTCCACGCGTGCAAATAAGGGTACTAGTACGCAGGATCACTAGTGCACTGATTGGTCAGTGCGACTGCGGTGGAGGGAGCGCTAGATTATTAAATCCAAGTATCGGAACGTTCAGGGTGGGGTGCCAAGTGTCGGACGTGAGAAAGCACTGGTGACTACATCCACCGATCATGGGTAGTGAAATTACTTGTTTGGGATTGCCGCCTCCATGCCGCCTCCAGGAGCCTTGTTGGGTGACGCGAAGGGAATACGGTAAGCAAGCGGGGAGAGCGGGTTGGCTTCGGCCATGACCGAGCATAGTACGACTAGTAGTGAGACTTTGATCTACCTCGAACCGGATCATGAGACGTCTTCGGGGGCCAAGGTCATGTCTAGAGAAGGCTAGCCAAGGCTGAGTTGAAACTCATTCTTACGTAGAGCGGAAAGCGCTGTCATTGGTAGTGTTCAAACTCGAAGCCTTGGCGTACAGGATAGCGGCTAGTACTAATCGCTTTGATTACTAAGCGCTTGCCGATTGGATGCCGATCGGACCGAGATCTATGGAATTGTGGGTTTTCTGACGCGATATAGTTTTAGTCTTCCAAACCTTTCAATCACTTACACACTCAGCTCCAACCATCACCACCATCGCCCTCTTCCTCGTCGTCCTCCTCGTCGTCGAAGCTCGTGATGCTCTCTGCAATTCCAATGCAGCAACTTTCTATTTCTAGTAATGACCCTTCTCCACCTAGTAGTCCGGATTCTAACAGCGACCGTCATCCTAATTCTCTCCTCACCGTCCCAGACATTGACCGCAATGGTCGTCTTGCCACTTCAAATCTCATTAATGTCAGTTCAATTCCTATTCCATTTAATCTTACTAACTCCTTTCTTCAGTCTCCAGACACCGCAACCCAGGCTCGCTTTCGCTTTCCCCGAAAGTCATCTTCATCCGCTCTCAAGCAGCGGTCTCCAGGCACAACCTCACCCGCTAAACATGGCCCTCTTCATGACCTCAAACGTTTTCTCAATCACCATATACCTCATTCTCATACTCCTTCCGCATCTTCCAGCGCCTCACCATCCTCCAACGCTTCGTCTTCCCATACCCCTCCAGAGCCACAAATTCAACCTGCAGATCAGCGAAGGGGTAATGATTTCGACAACAATGCCGTAATACAAGCAGCTCCCATGATAACCACTCACAAGTCCTCGCCCTTCAGCTTCATACACAAGGCCCGCAACCGCGACAAGGACAAATCCTTCTCCCAAAAATCTTCTCCTCCATCCACCTCTCTATCGTCTAAACATCCATCACAAAGTCCCCCAGGAACCCCTGCTGCTGTTCCGATTATTTCCCTCTCCGAAGCCACTCACGCTCATCTATCCAAAAAGTATGGCAAGTGGGGCCGTGTACTCGGTACCGGTGCGGGTGGCACAGTTCGCCTCATTCGTGCACGAACTAAAGCAGGAGGTGCCGTCTATGCTGTCAAACAATTCCGCCCAAGACGTTCCGGTGAATCAGAGCGTGAGTATGAGAACAAAGTTAGAGCTGAGTTCTGTGTCGGCGCCTGTTTAAAACACGTCAACGTCATCGAAACAGTCGATATCGTCTGCGATCATGGTCACTACTATGAGGTTAGATTATCGCTCATTCACAACAACTTCCTCCCCTCATCCCCAACAGGTCATGGAGTACGCTCCCTACGACCTCTTCAGCGTCGTCATGTCTGGCCGCATGCTACGTCCAGAAATTTTCTGTGTCTTCCGTCAGATCTGCAACGGCGTCGCATACCTTCACTCTCTAGGCCTAGCGCATAGAGATCTAAAGCTCGACAACTGCGTCATGACACAGGGCGACGTCGTTAAACTAATCGATTTCGGAACCGCTGTCGTCTTTGCCTATCCTGGAACCGGCACATCCAATGGCTCTCTACCGGTTGTAGTCACAGGATATGTCAGTGGCGCCCTCAATGCCCCTTGCCCTCTACAACCCCCACATCCCAATGATCCACCATCCGGTCCGCACTCCCATGCAAGATTGATACCTGCCACGGGTATAGTTGGCAGCGATCCGTACCTCGCGCCCGAAGTCCTGGAAGGTGGCTCGTATGATCCTCGAAAAACCGATGTGTGGGGCGTTGGCGTTATTTTTGTGAGTAGCGTTCCTCTTGCTTGCTTTTATGGTTGAGGGCGTTATGCCTCTGGATGGATGGATGACCCACGGTCATGTTCCGGACCAATCCTGAAAACAGTCGCTCGGGCATTGCCATGGGCCCTATCTAGGCCGCTCTAACCATCCGGAACGACAGTTGCGCCACATGAAAAGATCTATCGCAGAAGCTAACAAAGTTTTGACAGGTCTGCATGGTCCTTCGGCGCTTCCCATGGGCAGTCCCTGACCGCGAGCGCGACAACTCATTCAAAGTATTCATCGAGGCCGAAGCTTCTTACCCACTGCCGCGCCCTAAATCCAAACGTAAACACAAGCGTCCAAATGGCGCAAAACCTGTGTCCTCCGATCCCCTTCCGTCAAGCCCCACCATAAGCGCCCCAGAGAGTCCTGACTCTGTTCGAGACTCCCGAAGCACGTCCCTGGATGTCCCGAGTACTCATGTCGACGGGATCAACGACAACAAGTCGGTGCTGTCGAATGGGTCGGTATATGCCGCCACGGCGAGCACCCTCACGTTATCGTCACCGGCTGGCAGTGATTCAGGGAGCGAGAGCTCACCACGCCGGCGTGCGATTGAGCTGGGATTACCTAGTCCTGGTGCAAGGACAGCGACGCTGCCGGCGATGTCTAGTTCGCAATGTGCACACCTGACTGAGGGCGGGGAAACAGATAAGAGCGTGTTGGTGTTTGCGCGCCCTGGAGTTTCTACGGAGAGTTTACCTGCGCTGAGGGCTGACAACCCGGACATCAAGGATACCATCAATGGGCAGGGGAAAGCCCCTAAGGAGCGGGATTTCGCGCGGGAGTCTCTGACGCGCAAGGCCCTGGAGACGAAGGTCAATGGTGTACGAGCCAACGGTATAAAAGCGCCGTCAATACCTGAGGAGGCTACTGCTTCATCATCATCATCTCCACCTACTGCTCAACCGTCACCACCAGAGCGCACGCTAACTTCCCCCGGAAGACGACCTCGTGCATCGTCAACAACGTCACCAAACTCAATATTTCGGTTGCTACCGCGTGAAACGCGGCCTGCACTACGGCGGATGCTGTGTGTAGACCCTAAGCTGCGCACAACCATGGGTGAGCTACTGTGGGGCCGACGAGAAGCAGGTGGGATTATTGCGCTAGCGGAGGGGGAAGTATGTGGTTGCGAAGATGAGGAATGCGAATCTGATACGGAAGAGCAAGATGATGATAATGTGGATGAAGATGGTGCGGAGGATGAGGGGGACGGGGACGAGTGGGTGCGAAGTATTGAGACGTGCACAGAGAGCGGTGCAGCCAAGCATGTGCATGTGAAGATCCAGAATGAGGAGAAGAGCTTCAAGAAAAGGTTTTTCTGAGTTGGGAGGCGGGCTGGCATTACCCTCGAGTGTGTCATACTGGTCTGGCTGTGCGTAGGCATGGAGCTGTTGTGCGACGGCTGTGTTTACCTCGGATCGACGCCCTGATGTCATCCATGTGTCATTACCCTCTTTCATCTTGACGGCATCCACCATCACCCTGATCATCCTCTGCCTTCACATTGATCATCATCCACCTTCGCTTCGCTCGTTATGTACCATATCTGCAGCCTCACAATCCTCATGTCTTGGTTCTAGTGGCACTCTTGCATCCATTTCACGCTCCAGAACCGTGGCGTGAGCCACTATCATTCCATTTTATTCCGACTCGCTTACCGTGTAATATTTCATCTGATTACCCTCGATCATTCATTCACTTCGACCACCCAACCATACTCAAAGATCTTCCCATCCATCTCGATCCATATGCACTTCATCTTCCCTCGCATGTATATACAACACAACACCTAGCACGCATACGCACGGTTCGGTACATACAGCGGACACTCAACATCATTCACAACGTTCATTCCCATCCTATTTCATCCTCTTGACTCCGTTTTATAGTGTCCGCCGCGGCAACATGATACGACCCTACGCCTATCATCTATCTTATTCTCGTCCACCTAGCCTAGTCCATTCGCTATCTTTTTTATCTTCGTTGTTTTCATTCTGATGCGTTCTCGCCTCTTGATTAAATATCATTTCATTTCATTTCTTTACTTCGTTGCTCTACGCCTACACACAAAAGCATGCTACCTTTCTTGATTGAACGGAAGGGCAATAATACAACAACGATTATGGATTACATCGTGTGGGAAGATGTGGATTCGAAGAGCCAGGCCATGTAGAGGCGTCAAAATTCCCCCTGAATTATAATAAATTTGTTCTGAATCTGTGGTCGGGAGAGTACCCTTGAACTTTATAGGACGAGGTCGAGAAGGTGAATCGGGACGGGTACGCCGAGGGTGTGGTAATGTCACCGTGTATAGAAACTCGGGGTTGACCCGTCTAGGGTCTTATGCGCCAGGGAGGGTTGGGGTGGGCGCCATTTGTTATCTATCCGGGTGCTGGGTAATATTGTTCCAGACAACGATCGGGTGACTGTCGTTCGTACTGCGCATCCACGAGGTCCTGCGATGGGAAAAAATACAAGGATATTCACGAGTGGCAGCATGGCACGGTCAGAATTTGACCTCGAAGGCCCTGTGGCGATAAATAGAAACAAGACGCAATGCGCAAATATATCTCGCCGAGGACGAGCACCGACGGGTGCAGAAACACAGCATTGCCGTCGACAGTCAGGACTATTTTGAGCGCGAGTCGCACCCATCCGCATCGCTGCGAGTATTTTTTTTCCCTCGTCGCTGGCAAAAAGCCTCTGCCGGCGGGAAGTGCGGCAAGAGCTTGCGATAAGCTATCTCGTGCGTTTTCCGTGATCCTGCCGGTTCGAATTAGTGGGCATATGAAAAGTGGTCGCTACTATCCTGAAGGTGAGAAGTGGAGGATCACACGACCGAGACCGTGCTCTGGTGGGGTGCAATCTGATCTAGGCGTATTCAGAGGATGATCAGGTGGTTACGAAGATACATCAGATCAGACAATTACCTTCAAGTTCCCTCAGTTGGCATTGGGCTCGTGCTGAAGGGTCGAATAATATCCTGGCCTGGCGGAAATAGAAAGCATCACGAAAACGCATGCTGATGCTCGCGATGCATATGGCACGACCATCAAATAATTACGAACGTTTCAGCGGAAAATAATAATGAAGAGGTCACGACGGAGAGAGATTGGAAATTGGGCGCACCACCGTCAAAAAAGCACATGCTTTTGAACATTGATGGATTGAATGAACTCAAAAGTAGCCGCCAACTGCCAATAATTAGACCCAATAAACAAACGCCGGTGAATTTCGAAGGAGGTTGAGTAACAGATAATCAAGGGGAAATTGCATAAGATCGCACCTGATGAAGCTGCAATTAAATTCTTTCGAACCCCTAGTCTCTGCAGAGGGCGCAAACTCAACCTGTAGGAGTTACTCAAGGTTATGCAGAGAACGCGCGATCCGACATTTTGAGACAGCGGCGATAAGCGCCTCGATTATCGATCAAATAGAAGGAAGCTTCGATACCACGCCTGTTTGCCGCGAAGATTCAGGCTTGGTAACAGCAGAAAAGCAGAGGACGACGAAGGTGGTGTAGACGACCCAAGCATTTGATTGGTGCGATTCGACTTGAGTTTTCGCTAAGATTTTGGGGTTGGGAAATAATGCGACGGTATGCCAAAGATCCGTGGAAGCTACGTTGAAATTCTTATTCGCTGTATCATTTAGCACTCTCTATATTCCGAAATATTCTTAAGATGCCAGGGCAGCAACTTGCAATTGGCCCCGGGAAATCCGGCAATGGTCGTAGTAGATCTATCCAGATGAGTATCGACAAACACTCAGCTGTCCCTGATGACGTTGTGTAGTCAGCAGAACAACAGGACTTGTGACCGAGAAGATAGAGTTCAGAGATTGGGAGATTGGATCGGCTTCGCCATACATTAAACTGCGAATAAGGTCCGAGGCGACTTCAAATAAAACATACCTAGCAGTGTTTGAAATCCCATTACTGACTGAATCACTTATGAGTCTCGGGCATGTTGCATCAGGACATGAGGCTCAAGGGATCTCATGCCAGCTAGTCATAAAATGCAAATTAGAGTTGGGTAAGACGCAAGTCAAATGATAATAATTGGAGCGTCAACCAATATAAGCACTCTGCTATAGTCCACGGATTCTCTAAGTAGAGACAGTGTCGAAACGATCAGATCTCGAGTCCTAGTGCAGAAACGAGATTAACAAGCTGTTCAAACCAACAGCAAGATGCCTGCCTACCTCAGAGCTCGTCTTTCCTTTCGCGAAATTTTTCTAAGTTTTCCCCTTGACTGTCCCTGACCTCGTCATCCTCTTGTTCCTTCTCGTCCTTTGGTTTATTCAACTGGTGACTGGCCTTTCGAAGGAATTCTGCTATATGAGCGTAGTCATCCACATCCCTTTCCTGTAAATCGGACTCTCCGAGGTCATCAAATGGAATCTCTTCCAGAATCTCGATTACAATCTCGCCGTTTTGGCCGCGCCCAAACACGACCTGAGCGTTCTCGCCCGACAAGGATTGAAGCTCCGGATCATTCATCAACGCCTCTAGCATGCGTTTCAATATCCCATCCGACGGGTCATCGCTTTGACCTGCGCTGGGACCCAGGGAACTCTTGGCTGCGGGGGATGGTACGGCGAAACGCGTTTCACGGGTCAGATAGGAAGGTAGGTCGGAATCTTGTGGTATTCGATGGCCGTCAGGTTTTCGCTGTTCGAGATGGGTAATTTGGGGAGTAGAGTCCAGCAAAGGGTTGATGATTTGCCGACAGCGGATAAAGGTTTGCTCTGGCAATTCCATTCGCGATTTGAATCCAGGTTCTCCGCAGAGACGTGGAGTTTGTACGATCAGCACGTAGGAACATGTTTTTGCTTCTCGTACAAGAAGAATAGAATCCGCCATCGTCATCGAGCAATGGAACTGTATTAATAATTTGAGCGCGTTGCGGGAATAAAATAAAATAACGTTACCTGAACTTCAACTTCACGAGATTTTCCCGTCTTATCACAGAATGTGCCATCACCCCATCGTTGAACGAGATAACGAGAGCCTGGACCATGAGCAACTTCAAAGTGTCCGACCTGAGCCTGCCGATCCGTGACGGCTACGTCCACCCCTGAATCTTGTGCGGAGGGGGCGCGTCCTAAAGTAAACGCTTCCCACTGGACAATCACTTACAAAGTATTAATCAAATAATATAACACATACTTCTGGGTCCTCAGTGGGTTCGGAAGCTCCTGTATACGTGTGAGTGAATGATACGCTGCCAAATGGGAAGACCATACCTGGTGAGCGAGGTTGCGTGTGAGTGAGTTCCTTGAACTGTCTTATTTCTTGATTGTGACAGTATGAATAAGTGAACCACGATTGCCGGTACTATAAGAAATGATTGGGTGACATGCCAAAACCATAGCAGGTGAAATATCGCACATAAAGACATTTTCCGGATAAAGGTTCCAGCAGTGACCAGCCGTTGCGGAGGACTGTATCTTGGTCGATATTCTCCTGTACTTGTATTGGAACATCACGAGCTGGAGGAATCAGGCAAATAAAGTCGTTATCTGGTCCCATTTTCATATGATTTAATATATATCCAGAATTATCTGGTATCGGAGACTGTGCTAGATCCGAAAACGACTGTGAATAAATCAAGTATAATTGAACACGAGGGGACATACAGATTTGCGAAGCGTCATTTGACATTTCCAGCTCAGAGCCACCTATCTCCTTGTATACTGCATTGGAAAACCAGGAAGGTTCGTCCCGCCGGTCATCTAAAAATTCGCTTTCACCGCCCCTTAGTCCCTCGTGAAGCCACCGTTGAACTGTTTCGTTCTGTACTGGAAGATTGTTCAGAAAGGTTACACGATGCTTTGGGAAGGCGTAAAGGTCTTCTGGACCGGAGTAAAGTAGCTTTGCCTGAACTGAGGAGAGAGTACAAAACAAAGTGAAAGCTACAGCTCGAGGAGGTAGCATGCTAATCGTGACGTACGTAGGGCGAAATTGACTCTTCCTCAACATACCATGTACCGTGAGAAATATCTAATTATATCGGCGACCGAACTGACTCCGCGGCCCGTCCATTCATGCTGGGAACCGCGCTGAAATATTGTCTGCACTCGTCAATATTTCTTTTTTTTTCTCCGTTCTGATGCCATGGATTCGACCCCTGAGTGGCGCTTTAAACCGCGAATCGCCGATCGGCGGCCTGAATGGTTAGATTCCGTCAAAAGTATTCTGTATCCTTAAAACTGAGAGATGCGTCTATACAAATATCTGACATATCTTTCAGAAGTATTAAATATGTACATATGCCTTTATGTCAGGCATATGTACATATTCAACATGATATTCACGGTAAATCAATATTAATTTGTTGCTAGTACTGGAATAAACCACGTTGTGTCAACAACGATCAACAGCGGCATGTCGAGCGACAACCGCATCGCTGTCAGGCGGTGGCAATCTCCCTGAGAGTGTCTTCATTCCTCTCTGTAATAATGAATTTTCTCTAATCCTCAGTCGTCCATTTACGTACGTATATGTCCCCGAATATCAGGGGCAAATGCACAGAAGATGCTGATCGATATAATAAATATAACCCACTTTTGGTCCAGATTCCACGCGAGGGAACAATACATGCTCACTATATTCGGTAGGGGGAATATTCGATAAAACAAGGGCACACACCCTTTCCCCGTCTTTCCTTCTTTCACCTCGACGCGGACGTTCTTTCCTGTATAATACAGTCGCTCCCTGCTCTGATCTATCTACCCGGTGTCAAGACATTCAATATGTCTACTTCACCCCAGCAAGAGGAAGTACACGATAAATCTCAGGAAGATTTCGAAGAGGAACAGCAAGTCGAAGAGACTGAGGGTATGTTCCCCGTTACTTTATCGTTGCCAGTTAGATGCGGCTTAACTTGTCAAATGCGTCTCATTTCCGCCATGTCCAGGCGCGGCAGACGCTAGCGATGCTCCTCCTCCCAAAAGGGGACGTGGCCGTCCGAAAGGAAGCAAGAACAAGAAGTCGGGGGGAACGTCTGCCACCGCAGCAACAGCAGAGGCTGGTGCTAAGAGGAAACGCGGCCGACCTCCGAAGGTGCATATCTCGTTCCTACCATTTCTGCATATGCTTACATGGTACTAGGAGAAGAAAGAGGAAGTTGCTGATGGCGAACCGGCCACCAAACGCAGGCGCGGTCGCCCGCCTAAGGCAAAATCGGAAGCAGTACCCGACACAGTCTCAGAGCCTGCACCTGATACTGCTGGAGAATCAGGTACAAAGAAAAAGCGGGGCCGGCCACCGAAGAAGACCTGAGACACCAACTTTCTCGGTTTCTGTCTCCCTGCTTTGTATAATTTTCTCCGCTCTCGTTCGTATCTGCACGTGCCAGATCTATCGCTTTCCCGCGCTCTCTACGACTTGACATGATTAGTACCAATTTCTTGCTTTCATGATTTACTAGGGCCCACAACATCTAGACTATATAATGTCACTTTAACCGGAGGTCATGTAATCTCTGCCACAGATCACTGTACACGCGTCCCTACTTATTTTTGTCTGCATGTGAACGCAGAGGATTTCGGGTCGACTCAAGAGCTGGCATTCTCCTTTGGACGAATCGGGTCAGACGAGCACGCGCTCCCAGCAATCTTTTCTGCGAATTAATTCCATGGTCGGAATGCTCAAATTAATCACCGCTCAAATGTTCTGCGCTCGAGACCACGGAAAATTCTAGATTTTAAATAAGAGCTTCGCCCAAATATTTGCATTTCACCCATGGTAGCACGAGGTTCGATAATTCACAACAGTGAGGACATTATCTTTGACTTCGCAGCCAACGTAAGACTCTCCACGTAAGGTAGAAGCTCGTGGCACACATGCCAACGGTTCCAAGTCTTGCCATAGTGGTGAGAATGATGGCCTGTCGAGCTGCTTTCCTCCTAGCGGTAGCATAACTGATATCGGGACGGAATGTAACCATGGTGTAGAGAGGCAACCAGCCGCGAGGATTGGCAGTCGGGAAGGCGATGCGGGACAATGAGTCACCCAGAGACGAAAGAACCGTGGGTCCACGAGCGGTCAATGAAAACAAAAGGTGGTCGAGCGCCTTTTTAATGATGTAGACAGGCGTTGTTACGGAGTGGCGCATTTCAATGCTGATGCACGGCGAAATCAATGACAACCAGCAACGCACCACAAGTGACTTCACTTACTAATTGTCCATTGCAAGTTCGCATATGGCAACGACATCTTCGTGCCTACTTGCAGAATAACGAGCCAATGCCTTGGCTAGCCTCTGGTCTATGAAGTCAGATTCAGGGTCTCCCGAATTAGGCATAGCTCTAGTAGGGACAACGCATTCTTCTTGCAGCAGTGTGAGCAACACCCGAACGTCTTCGAGACCACAGTTAAGCCCTTGTCCGAAAAAGGGTACCATCGAGTGGGCAGCGTCACCGAGAATTACACACCGATCTTTGTAATGATAAGGCGTTAACTACTCCCCACCAATGGCGACAATTAGCTCTCTAATGGTGCTCGTGTGAAACGAAAGAGAGGTACCTTCGTAGTAATCAGGGGGCTACGGGGGTTTTTCTCAAAATCTTTCAACAATTTGTCCTCGCCAAGTAGCGACAGTGCATCTGGAAAATGATTCTGGAACCACAACAGGATGTCTTCGCGAGTGATCAAGCGATCAAACTCGACAGTAGGCGCGAAGAGGGTGCAAGTGAATGTCTTATCCTGAAATTGAATCTCGTTAGGTGGGAAGCACATAGAAGCTGCGTGCGTGATTACTTTGTTTGGCAGAGCGATGAGCATGAAGGAGTGGCGAGGCCATATGTGGAGATGATTCGGATCAAGGAGGAAGGCAGGATTGCCGTGCTCGTCGTGTCCTGCCGGCATTTTAAGTTCAATATACTCATGAGGAATATATTCTTGCTGAAAGTTCATTCTATGGAGAAGCAACAATATCAACACACTGGAATCATATCTCGAGAGCGGAAACTTGTCTACCAACCTCACAACCCTCATCAATTGTCTCCTTATGATGGAATGACTCCCGTCTGCAGCGATACACAGGTCGAATTTGACTCGGACATCTGCTCCCGAATTGCCGTCCCGAAGGAACAGCACCCTTTGGTCGAAATCAGCTGAAAGGACCTTGTGCTCGAAGTTCAAATGGATGTTGGGCGTTGCCGAGGCCTCCTCCAGTAGTCCTTCGTTTAGAAGAGTGCGATCTATGGAATTGATGCACTAAGCAAGTGAGCAAACATGGAACAATGTTAATTTACTTGGCATATAGCCGTGGTAAAATACAGGAACCAAACATACCTGGCCGTCCTTGTCATATTGTTGGCTTTGTAGATTTCCCTGTCTGTCGTGAATCATCCGCCCACGCATAGGGATGACCGTTTGCAGAAACCTCTCAGCTGCAGAGGCATCGACGGCTCGTAGAGCGGCGATGCCACGCGATGAAATAGCCAGGTTAATAGATCGTTGTTGAGCAGCCGCTTTCGAAGATGATAGCCGTAAATCTTGAAAAAAAGAATCAAGACAATGGGTGACGAGAACATTGTCGCCTTTACCTGGCCTCGCTTCATAGACCTCGACCTGCCATTTCATTTTAGCGAAGGCAATTGCCGCGAGACATCCTACTGGGCCTGCACCGACGATAACCACTTTACGGGTGATATCGAGGGGAGGAGTGTTATTGTTCATCAAGGGTGACTATCAGGACGAGTCGCGAGGGCCACATGCACGGTTGTGGTACATTAATCCTAGTCGTACAAAAAAGGAAATAATGAAATTTATGTAAGATCTTAGATCAACTCTTGAGTCTGAATCTTTACCCGACCCTGATGATGCCTCCGGATTGGAGTGACCTTAACGTCGTACTCTCCAGGGAGTTTATTATCCCAACCAATAAAGATATTGGAGCTAAAATACAACAAGAAAATGGTGAAGAACCTCTTTACGTAACTTCTCAGATTATTCAAGGGCTGGATCATCAGCTCATCAGAGATGCACTTATCTTTGCGGAAACTCTCTTGGTCCACTAACCAAACGGTCCAAGGCTCTCCTACAAGAGGAGTTAGATGTTTGGGGTACACGGTGCGTGCTGCGCATCCCTGAGGCCACGAACGATTCCTTATCTTGATGGCCCTTTGTTTTGTTGCATACGAAAAAAAAATTATTAGGGCCGTCCAAGGACATTTTGCGCACCCTTATGACCGCGAATGGATGAACATTGCCGATACAGTCACCCCTCTACTTGCTGAATTGGTGGGTGAGTAACTATTAACTGTCACGTTTTGCAGAGAATCGAGAAGTTCTGATGGGGTACCTGATGTAGGTGCCTCAGAGAAGGAGGTGGCATGCATGGGCACTCTGACTGCGAACCTGCATTTGATGATGGCCGCATTTTACAAACCTACTCCTCAACGTTTTAAGATTCTATGTGAAGGCAGTGCGTTTCCCTCGGATCAGGTGAGTGGTTGGCTTTTTACATTCTTCCTCTGTTTCTTACATGCGGCATAGTACGCATTCGCTTCCCAGGCTCGTCTGCACGGGTATGACCCGAACGAAGCAATAATCGAAATGTGTCCTCGCGAAGGAGAGTTTACACTACGAGAGTCCGACATCGTGGACTTGATTGCCAAAGAAGGACCCTCGATTTCTATGGTGATTTTCAGCGGCGTGCAGTATTACACTGGTCAATTATTTCCTATGAAGGCTATCACCACTGCAGCCAAGGCACAGGTAAATTTTGTTCAACTACCATCTTCTTCGATTATTACGTACATCTTTCATCACCCCCTCATGACGTGAAAAGACAGGCGAGGATCCGCTACATTCAATTACCCCACACGTCACCCTGCTAAACATGTGTTGACTTGTTCGTTCGTCGTTCAAAGGGATGTGTTTGCGGCTGGGACCTCGCTCATGCTATTGGAAATGTTCCCATGGCACTTCACGATTGGGATGTCGATTTCGCTGTATGGTGCTCATACAAATATCTTAATTCAGGCCCAGGCGGAATTGGCGGGCTTTTCGTGCACAATAAATGGGAGAACAGCTTGCTACCACAGTGCGTAATGACTGGCCACTTCTTTTGGGGTTTCTAATCGGCATTACTACCAGGTATGCAGGGTGGTGGGGACACGATCCAGCCACCAGATTTGCCATGCCTCCTCGGTTTTCAGCTATCCCTGGCGCGCAAGGATATCAACAATCCAATCCCTCGGTCCTTGCAACCGCATCGCTTCTGGGTTCTTTGCAGATCTTCAAGGAAGTCGGCATGATGGGTCCTTTACGCAATCGATCGCTTCGGTTGACTTCCGAGCTGGAGATGAGACTCATAAAGTCAAGATTTTATGTGCCCATCAATGAGGCTTCGGCACAATGCCTATTACGGGGTGTTGTGGACAGCAAGGAGCACACTGCCCAACAGGGCCAACCCGGGTTCACCATCATCACACCTCGTGATCCCGAGTCTCGGGGTTCACAGTTATCGCTTCTATTGCTGCCACCTAATTCAGACGTGATGGATAGGGTTTTTAATGCATTGACTGCAATGGGCGTTGTAGGGGATGAGAGAAGACCCGACGTGATTCGCTTAACACCTGCAGCCTTGTACAACACACTAGGTGATTGCGAGAGAGCTGCCTCGTGTCTTGAAAAGGCATTCGAGGGTTTGACGAAAGTAAGATTGTAATATTATGTACATGGAGGTATATTATCTAGGATGTATCGACCAACAAGTTTTACAAATTCTATGCCTTTTAGTATGTCATCGTGCTCTTCCATGAGTTGTTGAAAGTTTCTGGTAACATGGGAGAGATTGCGAAGTAAATGGTGATACATTGCTTCGCTCTGAGCTTCATCGATCAAGGTATCCCCTTTGGAATGCACGATCAACCACCGCAAGTGATTATACTCCATCCTCGGATTCATCGTCGTGACTGAAACTTCCCGGTAAGCACTCCGCGGGCCAAATGCGGCCTCGATGAACCAATCCCTATAAGTGGGGAAACTCGAGAGAAGGAGATCGATGTCGTATATTCCCTCTGACATGATGATGGCTTTTGTGCTGTTGAGAAGCTCGGGTGAGGGGCGTAAAGGGTCCTCGGTGGCCTCGAGGAAGATGGATGACAATATATGAGCACCGCAGCTATGTCCCATCAAACATAAGTTGTTCGAATTATAGACACTGGTGCCGTACGGGCCTTGCCATGCGATGACGAATTCAAGAAAGCGTAGGATATCTTTTGCGTGATCGGGATGGCGGATTGCATTGTGTCCTGATAGGCGGTAATTGGGGACTGCCACTGCGTATCCAGTGAAAGTGGCGAGTCTACGAGCCAATCCAGCGTGATCAAGCTTATCTTCGCTAGAGGGGAGACACGGTGAGAAATGAGACACTTTGCGGAGGAGGGACCCACCTTCTCCATGCACCTCCATGTACAAAACAAATTAGAGCGGATGTATTACGTTGCGTGGGGATGTAAAAGTTGAAGGTGTGGAAGTTGTCGGGTGGATGAGAGGGGATATAGGGAATGTCAGTGTATTCGTCCATGGGTGCGACGTACTAATGACAGTTGAACACAGCCACTGACCTTGTGTGACGTCAGCGCCACAAATTCAATTGACGTCACTGGGAGTAGTGCAGTCTATATAACGGCAGAAGAAAGCCACCTGGTCTCAGTTGCAACATGGCATTCACAGCTTCCGATATTTGCAAGGTATTTTACTTTCCTTTTTCTACAAAGTCAGTATAACCTGATGGGTTTGCATCTATTTAGATAATGTATGTCGCCAACCGCTTGCCATCCAATTAAGAAGCTCACCGACCTGTCAGTTGTGCCATCGTTTTTCCTCCTTTAGGTGTATTCTTGGAACGGGGGTGTACAGCCGACCTGGTCAGTTAACTTAGGTTCCTCATGGCAATTCGCCTCGCTCACTAGCTCTGTGATAGCTCATTAATTGCCTGCTAACTCTTCTTGGTAAGCCCGTCGCATATCACTCAATTTTAGTCCGCCTATAACCGCCTGCTCTCCCTCCTTCTCAGGATGTGAGTCCCTTTTGTTTGATTTATTGCCTTGGTTAACCACTTTTTAATTTGCGACAGATATGTGAGATACCATTGGTCTACTTTGTCCGCCGTCTTCACTGACCATTCTTCGGCTCTCAGTCCAGGAATCATTCACGGTATGTCACACAATGTCCTTCACTAGTTGTCACCCTTCTCATCATGTCGTCTGTAGCACTCTACATTATTCTCAAGTATTGAGTGGCGTTTACGGCTTCAGGCAAGCCACCTGTGCACTACCCATCTTTCCGTCTCACATCCTACTCCATTTTAGAGTTGAGCCTCCCATGGTCCGTCGGTGAACTTAATCATTTGGTGGTATATCCAGGAGGGGATCGCACACGTTTTCCTGACATTTATGCACCCATGACCAAATATGTAAAATGCACATAATGCACTACACTTTATACATACCTTCCGACTAGTATACTAGTATAGTGATATTTCCGTCTCAAAGATCATTAAATCTTTATTCAATCGTCAACCTTTATGTCACTGATTGAATGCCCAACAAATAATTAATTAACTGTCGGGAGAAATAAATCGTAGTAGGGTCGCGGCACAATCGACAGTAGTTGAAGGAAATCAGTCAACCCCGCCGATCAGATTGTGACCCCTTCTACCATTGCACAGGTCTAATCTATCTTATTCACTGTCATCCTCGTCAGTGTCACCCTCGTCCTCTTCGTCCGAGCTTTCCTCGCACGAACCCTCTTCCGAAGAATTCTCGCCTGCCGAAGGGAGTTCCTTTGTAACCGGGATTTTGACAGCAGGTTCACTCGTTTCGCTGCCCTCGTCCGAGTCTTCCTCCGATTCTTCATCACTGTCCTGTTCATCAAACTGTTTTATCATATGGGCTCCAGTGACCCAGCATTTGTTGTAGCAGTCTTGCAGAGACGCAGGCTTAACGCCCTGGCCTTGAGACTTGGATTTGCCATGCCATGCGCGGATGTCATCTTCGTCGACTATGTCGTCCTGGTACAGCGCAGCGAGAATCTGACCAAACAAGGGCAAGCGATCCGATGAAGCGCTATATTCCTATAGTGCACGATTCAAAACTGCCTCAAGTCGTCATCACGAGATACTTACTTGAAGGATCTCGACAGTTTCCACAGGATCTACCCCTCCAATCTTGTCAATCAACCCTCCCCATCGAGCAATCATACTAGCAATCTCCTGTCGTTGCGGAATCCCTCCGCCCGCTATAATTTTGATCCGGCTGACCATGGCTGCGATCACGGCCTCCCGCACTAGGCGGAGAGATACATTGCTGGCCATACGTAGCGTCTTCAGTTCCACGGCGGCGTTATCGACAGAATGGCCTTCGGCAAACGCACGATCGAGCGACTGCTTGACTTCCTGCTGGAACTCTGATATTACTGCCGAGTCTGCTTGTGCAACCAGATTCGAAGGTGTGCTGAGCGGAAGCGAAGTGGTCGAGGAAGCGGGATTGGAATCGTAAAAGTGCTCGTCGTCATCGTCATCGTCAGACTCTGACTCCGACTCTGATGAAGTGACAGAGCCAGGATCAGAGAGGACCAGATCTGACGCGTTGTCGCCTGTAAAATACCGTATAGTTAAGCAGATGATGTGAATTGATGATGAACAAGACCTACCTATTCGCATTAAGCGCTGGTTATCAGGGTGTTCCAGGTCATCAATGGCCTCGTCCTCGTCAACAACCGGCAGTGGCCAAATGATCGCATTGGTGTCAGAACCAAGTTTTGCAAGAGCTTCAGGATCTTGGTCTTGAAGAAATAATGAGTCAGGGTCTCGACTAGACGTTGACTTTACCCACTTGCTTCTACGTCCTCTAGCTCTGAGTCGACCTCGTCTTCGTCGTCACCATCTTCACTTTCGTCGTCGCCATCTTCTTCTTCTTCGAACTGTTCTTCTGCATCTTCGAATTCGTCGTCTTCCTCATCGCTGTCCTGCCGCCGCTTAGACAACCTTGAAAACGGCGCAAGTTTCGCCTGCGGACCGACGACGACGCCATCAGCAATCAAACATCCGCGTTCAACATGCGTGCGCTCCTTGATGTGTACCCCTGACCCAATTATACTGTGCTCGACGACACAATTCGGTCCGATGACCGCTCCATCGAAGAGATAAGAGTTGCGGACTATACTGCCCGCGCCAACAATACATCGCTGGCCAAGAACAGATGCCGTGACCTGAGCATTATCAGCTATCTGCGATTTTGAACCGATCAGCGTGTTGTTTCCGATCTTGCACGTCCTACATTCTCGACGGATGGGTAAACGACCGACAGAATTTGGAAACGTTCTTACCGGGAGAGTATCACTGAGTTATCCTTGGCGATGTATTTGTTTCCTCGTAGATGCTCGTACGAGTGGCCACCGGGATGGTTATCATCTGGCACCAAAGGGAATGTCCATCTTGCAAGAATGTCTTTGCTGATTTCTGTTAAATGCGATGGAATCGTCAAAAAAGTTTGGGACGCTAACCTGATGGAGTCATAACTCCGGGTATCCCTGACACGAGCAGCATAACCCTCTTTGGCGATATAGCAATAGATACTTTTCATGAGCAGGTCAGACGTAAGGACGCCATGAACGAAATCCCTCCGTACATCCCCGTAGTCAAAGTTGTCCTGGAACAGTGACGGCACCTGTGCAAGAAGAGATCAGACCAATTAAAGTGAATAAGGCAAAACTATGTCAAACGCACCTCTACAGAGCATATATCTATCGAACAATCAATCAAGTCATTTCGGATCTCCACCTCAGGGTGTTCATTCAGAATTTCGCGTGGTATGCTTGCGTATTTCTTTGGCGGGTACCCAGTCACCGCCTCATAATGAAGGCACTTTGATGTCTCTGGATCTATCACAAACACCGCGGAATCGCCTTTCGAACTAGGGGGAGAAATGAGTAGTGTGATGACTTGGTCGAGGACTGACGTACCGCGTCCGATGGTTTACGCCACTCTGTTTGACTACCATCGTCATTATAGCGTCCTTGTCCGTTTTTCTCCGCTCTTTGTGCTCGCGAACAACATCGCCTATATGTATGTTGCTCACGAGGTCACCGGTGACGAGCACGAAATCTGAAGTGATGATGCCATGGGTGTAGATGTCGCGCATGGCATCGCCAGGCGTGAACGTCTCTTTCGCAGTCACGATTGGGACGATCTTGAGGCCCGCGCCGGGCTTAGACCACTTCGAATTCCTGGATCGCACAATCAGCCACCATGAACAGAAGAATGGCGGTTCAGAGACTCACTTGATCGCAGTCTTGACCAATTCCGCATGTGATCTACATATCACGAAGATCTCTTGTACGCCAGCTAGAGCAAGGCTTTCGAACGTCCAGTCCAGCAACGGAGCATTGCATATCGGCAGCAGGCACTGATTGAGAATGATAGTGGTATGATTTCGTGATGCAAGAAGTGACTTACTCGAGGTTTATGCGTGGTTAGCGGCTTGAATCGTTTGTTGAAACTGTCTGCTAGAATAACAGCTTGCAGAACCTTTTCTTCATCTGCGATCAATTTATCCTTGCCAGTAGAGGAAGTTGTGTTCGGAGACATTGCAAGCAAAGGTAACTAAGAAGTGCCCGGTTTGTTGATGACATGAATCAAGTCGAGTCACACTTCAACTCGCCAAAAGGGTGCGTGAGCTCTTGATGTTCATACAACCCTCCAACATCATTACAGGATAGAACTTTAATGACATGGTTAACTGATCCGACCATAGCAAAGTAAGGGTATCAATGATCAAGATCGACATTAGGTAGTGAAAACACGGATCGGAATGTAGTCATGATGAGTAGGGTCGTGAAAAGAAAGCAAAGACCAAATCCAACAAGTATGGTAGCAGAAGAGGGTAAAAGACATGAATGAGGGAGCTAATGAAGAGATCCTGATAATGACCAAAACCAAGTGCAGTGAGAAAGACTGCTCAACATACCCATGGAATAAAGAGGAGCAGATGAATATGCGCTCGTGTCGTTCATGATATTACCAACAACCTCGGAGTAAGCGCTTATGCGACAGCCGAGATCACAGGGGTGGCAGCGAGTGCGGGCTCAGTAGGGACGGGCTCCTCGACGGCAGGTTCAGCAGCCTCTGCGGGAGCGGGCTCCGAACTAGCGGGGTTCTCAAGGGGAGCAACCGGAGCTGGTTCATCAATCACGGGGGGATGCTCGTCCACCTTGGCGGGAGTCGAGCTCTCCGTCTTTGGCTTGGATCTGAAGAAAAGGTCGCCCACACGTGCAGACAGACGGCGTCCAACTTTGGCAGCCTTGTTCTCCTTGGGGGCCTCAGCTACGGCCTCCGGGGCGGGCTCAGGTGCGGGCTCTGCAGCGGGGGCTTCAGCGGCAGCGGTCTCACTAAGGTTGGTCAGTCAATGAAGTCATCTAGCGAGAAAAGACAAACGTTTCTTTGATAGGCTCAGCTGCAGGCTCCGGAGCTGCGGAAGGCTCGGCGACAGCAGGGGTCTCCTCAACCTTTGCCTCAGCGGGAGGCGCCTCCTCTTTGGCAGGCTCCTCAGCAGGGGGAGCAGCCTAAATACCTATGAATTACAACGTCGTTGGGCTGATATTAAACACTGACCTCCTCCTTCAATTCTTCCTTCTTCTTATCCTTCTTGGGACTCTTGGGAGCCTTCACCTTCTTCTCTACCTTGGTCTTGCCATCCTTGAAGGGGGCAAGGAGCTTGGCAAGGAGGCTGGGACTCTTGGGGCGTTCCTCCTTCTTGGCCTCCTACGAGAAGGTCAGGTGTGCTAGAGGAATTACAAATTGGACACATACAGTCTTGGCTTCCTCCTTGGCAGACTCTGCGGGGGCCTCAGGAGCGGCCTCGGGGGTTGGGGCGGCCTCCTGAACAAACGCGTCAACATACAAACGCAAGGGAACAATGTGAGGAGCTCACTTCAGCCTTAGCCTCCTCCTTTGGAGCTTCCTGTGTATAAGGTTAGAATCGGCCGGAACCACAAAGGGAAATTGAAAAAAAATTACAGCAACAGGAGCAGGCTCTTCAGCAGCGGAAGGCTCAGGGGCGGGTTCGGCGGCGGGGGTTTCAGCAACCTTGACTTCCTCAGCGGGGACGGGAACAGCAGCGGTGACCTCAGGAGCAGACATTATAGCAAAAAATGCGAATGTGAGCTGTCAACAAGAGCCAGTGAGTGAGAGGGACAAGAGAAAGCAGGACTAAGGGATACGAACATGAAAAGATAATAAATTGACAAGAGAGAGAAGGGCGTGCTACGCAACGCTGGGCCCAAAGGCTAGAAGAGAGGAGGAGTAAGAGAGAGGAAGAGATATGGTTGTTGTCAAATTCGGGCTCTACTTATCCGTATTTGGCTCCGCTTTACGCGCCAAACAAAGCAGCTAACCTAATTTCTAACGTTCTTCCTATTTGTTTGATTACCTTTTCCGGTTATGTTATCTCTCACGGCGTCTGACTACGCGTAAAAAAATATTGAGAGGATGTAACGGGAATTTTTAGCAAGGGAAGTGAGTATGGGTAGTTTGAGGAGAGCGTGTAAATTATGGCCCGTGCGGTTGGGCGTAGGGTGGTCAGAATGAGACGAATCCCAAGAAGGATGTTCTCAGTTGTACAAAGGAAGGTTCGGATCACGTCAGAACTAGCGAGATCACGAGACTAGGATACCGATCACATCCGCTCGCCACCGAGCGCGGTTTCGACTCCTGTTTAAGGTTAGACAAACATATACGCAGCACTGTACGAGTGCATCGTAGAATTACTTCTCAGGCTTGTCATGGTCTGATGTGGTCATGACCACTTGTGCACTGACCACTTGTAGGTCGTCACTCTATTGTTCATATCGCCGCATCGCATCTCCTTGTCTGCGTACAGACATTCATGTGTTCTTGGCCCAATCGCCTTGGCGTCCTGATCGAATGTGTCATTTTCATAAGAGTGACACTTATTATCTGTCTAGCGTATCCTGCTTTCTTTCTATTTATGACGTTGACGCCAAGGCACACTTCGTCTGCCAGCTGGGACAGTACTGGGGCTCAGACATACTTCCTCCTCAGGCCTCAGCTGTATTGGATCTCGCTATAAATAATGGCGAGGGTAGAATCACTTGACTTACATCACGAGAAACTTGTGCGGTCTGACTACACCGTCATTTTCTCATCAGCAGCCTTACTTCCCGGACGTCCACTAGAGCCATACATGATTCAAGTCAGAGTCAATCTCCATTCTATTTTTGTACACGCTAAGTATATCAGCCTGCCACAAAGGTCCGACAGAGGTCGTTCAGTGCATGTGCCACGACGACTTGATGATCTCAACAAACCATCGACACCCTGGCAAGTAGAAGTCGCCGTTCGTTTCCTTCATTAGCAGACCCGCGCTCAGACTCCACGGAGGGCACCACGTTTACCATTTGGAGACTCCAATCGCAGTCGAACTCTCAACTCGCGCACCAAGAAATCTGTATTCCCGCATCGTGTCTCAGGACTCGCACGCAAGTTAATTTATCGCAGATGATGGTCACTGCCCCTCAAATGCCCTCACTAGATGAGCCTCATGCACGTTCTGGATCAATCTGCGCCCAAACACCACGAGGACCACCTGCGATTTCATTTCGAAAACTAGGAGTCCTGGTTTGATGGGTGTTCGTCCACGGCTCAGACCCAGTCATGGTTACATCTAGACATCGTCACACCAGCAGTGCCTTGCGGGTTTCGTATCAAAGAACAGCTGACCTCTGATCCGCGTCCAGATCTGCACGTTGATGCTTCGTTTTGTTGCCTGTTACTTGCGCTATCTCAGCTGCTATTGTGCCCACATTCGCGTACCTGGGATCACCTAGCAACCTCCCGCGCCCTTTCGCAGCTGCCTGCACCTGCCTACAAGTACACAGCGGTGGACCGGCTCCGCCGAGACACTTTCATCAGCTGTGGTCAGACTTGTGCTTAGGTTCCATTGCAAAGTATTTTGATCGTCCGCCACTGAAAATCTTCTTCGAGAATGTCTGTCTTATCGTGCACAAAATGGATACGTCATGTGTTCTGCCGCAATGACAGACCATGTGTCTTTTGGGATGAAGATCAAGTGTGACATATGTGCAATATAACAGCGCTGACGTATATCACGCGGCGGCTTTCACCACCTTGCCCGCTATATCTGATTGTCGTCTGTGAGGTACGCGCAGACCCTTGGCCTTCATCTGAATACGTTTTCCCTCTGTGGAGATACATGAACAAACGATATAAACAATTAAATCGATGCACAGACCTTCGATGAACGCTCTGTCCTCATCAGAATCAAATCCAACATCTTGCTGCTCATCTGCATCGACTGTATTAGTCGACCCGGCTTCCTGCGTACCAGCCTTTATCTTAGTCCGTTTTTCCACCTTGAATTTTGCGACATAGAACCCATCCATGTTGTGCACATGGGGGTAAAACCTCTTTGTCAGCTTCACGCTTGGGTGGAAGGTCTTTCCGCGATACTTTGTAAAACCATCCCTGCCAAAGCCAAGACCGGTGTCCACCAGTTTCACGTTCGGGCGCTTTCGCAACGCATAATCGACGACAGCCTCGTTTTCATCGACAGTGACGGAACACGTGGAGTAGACCAGAAATCCTCCCGTTTTGGAGTCGGGAGAGACGCTGTCAATGGCGCAGAGGATGAGTTGCTTCTGGAGATGCGAGAGGAGGTGGAAATCCCGTTCAGACTTTATGAGGATTTGAGTAAATGGATCTTTGACCACAAGCCAGAAACCTCACTTTGTTGACCTTCACACTTGAGTCTTTGCTGATAACACCAGTGCCGCTACATGGTGCATCCAAGAGGACCCTGTCAAACCCACCCATGACCTTGGGAAACTCCCGACCGTCGTATGAACAGATGACGACGTTTTTGCATCCTAGACGATGCACGTTTGCCGTCAGACTCTTTGTCCGTGCCTTGTTCGCATCATTGGCAAAAACGATGCCAGTATTTTGTAGGAGTGCAGCAATGTGCGTCGTTTTGCCTCCAGGAGCAGATGCCATGTCAAGCACACGTTCGTTCGGTTGAGGGCTTAATGCGATGACGGGAAGGAATGATGAAGCTGCCTGAAGCATATAGTGGCCAGAGAGATACTCGGGTGTCGCACCTGTCATGGAATTTAGCGCATGGCTCAGGTGTAAAGGATTCATACAGACCTATGGGCACGCTGCTTTCGAAAACTTGGAGACCAACATTGGTCCATTTGCCTATCGGCTCAAGGTTGACACCACGGTTAATGAGGGCTTGCGCAAGGTCTCGTCTTCGTGTTTTGAGTGTATTTGTTCGGATAGTCACTGGTCTTGATACCTCATTTGCTTCGAAGAACTCGACCGCCTGCGAAAGAGGTAAAATGTGATAATAGAACTAGAAAGAGATGGAGCACATACCTCAGAAACTGGAAATAGCTGGAATAGCTTCTCGGCAAGAAAATCATTATATCCATAGTAACTAGCGATGTCGGAGACAAGCTGCTCGACATATTCTGACCGTAACCTGCACATGTCCTTGAAAATACAGACACGATTGAAAAAGGCCGATTGAGAGACGTACCGATCTTTTGCGCCCAGTTTTCTGAAATTGCCCAAGATACGGACACATTCTCGCATCCTCCGTTGAACGACATGGACATCAGCAACATGGTTTTTCTCCTCTGCTCTCTCTTCAGCCGTAGGTAAATGAAATGCCTCTGCATCTTCTCCCTCCCCTTCCATGTCAATTTCGTCGTCACTGGCATCCAAGGCAGCGTTCTGCATCTCCTCAAGATCAAGCTCCGCCTCACGAGCAGCCTCCTCATCGAGGGCACGAGAGCGGAATTCAATGTTCTTGGCAGTAATTGGCCCGTCCTCGTTATCAGACTCATCATCGGAGTCCTCATCTGAGGCTGTTGGAATAATTTTGGTTGGACGTTCAGCCTGCTTAGATTTCCGGCCTTTTTGTGGGAACAATGCGACTTCCTCATCGTCTGAGCCAAGATCCAATTCTTCCGGAACCCCTCGTAAAAGGTCATCGCTGCAGGGCAAAAAAAAACTTTAGCCAGGAATACAGTGGGAGGAAGAACTCACTCCTCATCGATGTCCAAGTCATCCCGACCGTCTACCGCGAAACCATCGACATCTTCCAAATCACTAGCGGCTTCCCACCCATCGCTTTCGCCTTCTTCTGAGAGTGGTATGCTTGTTTCTTTGATAGGTGTAGGCTTAACCTTTGATATCTTCTCTGGATCCTTCGTCCGCTTCTTTAAGGCCGAAGGTTTATCTGCCTTGGCTTTTTTTGTGGGACGGCTGTTGGTACTTGGTTCAGGCTCATGATCTGCATTTGCCTTTCGTTTCCCGAGCCGTTTTGTCGAAGGGCGAGTTTCATTTGGATTGCGAAGTGGAGCTGGAGGCTCTTGCTTGTACTTTGTTCGTCGCCCTCCCATAGCAAACCAGCTGATAATGATATAGTAGACCGCGCGGAGAGATAGAAGACACTACAGACTGAGAACAAATTACGAGCTATTTTTTCTCTTGCCCGATTTGGATAATGTCCTTTCAACACCGCGTCGCTTCAACCAATGCGCAACCCTAACGCGAGTCCAGCAATGAAAGACGCCCTTGGCTGAAAGTCTGCTGTTAAAAAGTCCACCGCCCATCTCCACAGTGATGAAATAGTTGGTGGCCTCTTGTTACCTAACGCATCTCTCGTATACAACAAGTTCTCGAATCGAGCAGCCATGCGAGCCCAATCAACACGGACGAGTGACATCGACCCAAGGTACTGTTAAATCGGTAAGTGGCACGACATCGACCAAGAATACATGTTACATACTTGAAGGAGAACGAATACACCACCGAAGAAGAATGCGACTATTTTTGCACCTTTCTTGATGAACACCCCTGCGCACATGCCAGCTGCTGTACCAAATGTCAATTCATACAGATTGACCGTGGACTCTGGGGGTGGGGCCTGAGAAGGGGGAGCGGGTGTAGTACCTAGTCCTGGGTGCTTCGAGGTCAACCCGTGTTCAACTAAACATAACAAAAACAATTCGTAGTACCTGTACTGTCACAATGAATGATTGGTGCGGTGCACGTTGCTAGGCCAAGTGCAATCCCTGCTGTCCCTGCAGCTGTCAGCAAGCTGGGCAGGAGGAGCTGCCCTTTGCGTACAGCGCCTCGTCGATTCAATACCCACGTCCGAGGCACATGCGCACGTGCGGAAAGTAAACGTTGTTGGCAAATGACAGAGTCTAAGAGTGAGCGAGACTGAATTGTGCTCAAACTCGAACGAGCAGTGATTGGGCTGAACCCACGTAATGGCCAGACAAGCGAGAACGACATACGCAACACTAGAAATGGTTTGCTGTGCCGAAGCTGAAGTGTTATGTACGAGTTCAAGGAGATCGACAAGCATAAGTAGTAAACTATTGACAGGTCTAAGTCGACGTACGTCATCCTCATAAGGCAGCTACGGGTACTACGGGTACTAAGTACATGGGCCTCAAGTACAAGTCCAGGTCATATTGGCAGACCATTACATGCCAATGTAAATTACTATAAGTGAAAGTCCAAATCTAAGATCATTGTTCTCGCCCAGCAGCGCTAAGCACGAGTCTCCTCCACCCGTCCAGATCGATATTAGAGTTTGTAGAATCATTGCGAAGATGTTGCAAGCTGGGCCGCACTAGTGGGGGATGTTGAACAGGATCTTGCACTACGTCCCGAGGAAAATCCAATGATTCGTCCTGAGAATCTCTTCTGGGGACATCGGAAAGGTGAAGTTCAAACGTGGGTTCATGTGGTCCTGCAGAGAGTTGTGGTGTGGGAAGAGCAGTCAGCGGGGGAGCCAAAAAGCCATCGCTGGGAGTGTCGTAATCACCTCTTGCAGCCTGATACTCCGCATGATCGTGAACGCTAGCCATCATGGAATGTACAGATAGGTGAACAGGGGAGCGCGACATCGACGGCGATGCAATCAGACGAGTAGTTGCACTGGCGGGGGATGTAGTTCTGGCACGGGCAAACATAGTTCCTTGGGAATACACTGAGGCCGAACTTCCCGTGATCACACTCAAGGTTCGATGAGGTGCCTCAGCGAGTGGTACGGGGACTGTGGGAGATTCATAAGTGGATCCATAGAGGCTGCTGGCCACTGAATCACGATTGGCATCCAAAGCCTCGCCGACGAAGGGGTTCGGCAAAACGGATGACTGAAGAGGATCCAAGTGAGGTGAGTATTGTCGCGGAGAGGATGAGCCAGATGAATTCAGGCTTCTGTCGGCAATGTCTAGAGCACGGATAGTTCTCACAGTGCTATATTGAGGAGATGCGTCAGAATAGACTGAAGCAGTATTTAGCATCTCCAATTCGATGCGATCATCACGCGTTTCTTGTCGTGGCATGTGCAACGACGACGGTGACACAGCATTGCTGGGAAGCTGGTAGTCAGCAGGGATGTGTTGGGGTAACGGAAGCTCCGACGCAGGGACCTCAGGAGACATCTCCTGCTTTTTGAAGAGCCACGCTTGAGACGCAGACGACGCATGAGACATGTGCAGATCTTCCGTGACCTCCAAAACATCAGGTTTATTCTCCAAATCGTCAGTTTGAGTTGGGCTGGGTGGACGAGGGATAGAAATCACGAAAGGCAGGCAAATGGCATACAGAAGCACTGTCATCACTATCATTATATGCAAAAAAGGATGGTGTAAACAAGCACCTACTCAGTGCGGAAATGGCCCAAGATCCTATGAGGACCGTCATTGTCATAATATGACATTTTGCAGTAGAGCCTTGTTCAATCAGTCCACGAATTGCTCACACAGTCAAGGAAACTAACCGAAAGCGTTACACGGAAATTTTGGGCTAAGAATCATGAAGACTACGGCACCGGCTAGAAAAAGCGCCGTGAGTTCCATTGGTGTGCGCACAGCACGATCAACACGAACCGACGTCAAGACTCAAAAGTACTGCCGTTCGCGCGGCGTCAGGCCAAAAATGATATTGCACGACAATCCTGCGCACCGTGAGGATACTACAGATAGGAGTGGAGTGATGATACTCACATGAGATACAACAAAATCGAAGCAACGAAGTCGAGAGCAACGAGACCGAACAGAAATCCGCCTGCGATTCGGACGGTTTCATTACAGGTCATTGTGAAAGGTGGTGATGCTACTTACGCTCGCCGGAATTGTAGCCTGACCAATTGTTGGCCATGTACACGGCTATGATGATGGACCATGTCAAGGAAACAATCGAGGCAAAAGCTTCGAAGGGGGTCAATCGGAATCAGCCATATCACACATGTCAAACTCACCAAGAACAATGCGACGAAATTTCCGAAACGTGTTCCAGGAAGTATTTGAAGCCATTAAAAGGGGGGACTGACGTAGTCAGCGAAATCGAAAGATGAAGAAGTTGAATGTAATATAGGAAAGAAGAAAGGAAATAGCAAAACGTGGTCACGATGAAGCAAAATTAATTCGGCGCAGTCACAGACTGTGTCAGTACCAGACGGACACCCTGAGGGATGGGACAAGCCCCGCCTGTGCGCAGCTGCATTTTTAGTCAAGGACTGTGTCACGGTGTGTTATTTAATACCGCAGTAACTAGTGTGTTCCTGGGAAGTAGCATGATAAATTTAGTCGCCTAAGTGGTATGCAGTGCCAGCCTCGAGTTTTCAGCGCACCCTGCCAGTGACGGTCGGTCCTAGAGACACTGCCTCATGATTAGTGGTCGCTGAAGTAGTGAATTCGAAGGGGGGGGTGGTGCCTTTTTGAGTAAGTGTTAGGTAGGGCGCCGTAGTGGAAGTCCCAGGCCCCAAAGCAGTGTATTATTAATAACTTATGTAAGTACTGTAAGCGCTGCACACAACAACGATGTTTGAATTTCAATGTCCGATAAACGATAAACGAGTTTTAATTGGCTGACTACGCTACTGATGCTAATAGGATATGTAGAATTATTAGGTAATCTCTACAATTGAGCTCAGGGACATATATTATTGATACTAATCTTAGCATATCCTCACCCAAGCTTCTCGTACTGTGACAACTTGTTAACCCCCATGGTCAACGTAGAACTCTATGAATACAGATCAAATGACTACCGTCTTTCAACGTTAACTTTTACATCAGGGTTGTCGAGGATGCAGGGTCGATCTGCACAAACCGGACCTTGCCAGTCTCCTGTTACGTCTTCAATGTATCGCATTGAAATATTGATTGTTTACTGATGCCCAGTGTAACAACGGATCATTGGATCCTTGATATCTAACAAGCTCAAGCTGCTGTAGACTTTGAAACGTTCTGTTCCGTGATTGATTGGCCGTCGGAAGTTGAATATTTTCTTGCCGATATTTATATTCTTTTCGGCTTAGCGTTCTGCAAACAGCTGTAATAGGGACGAACTTCCGTAACAGGCAAAGTAGAAAACGCTAAGCAGTGCGAGGCACAATTGACTCCAAACCATCATGTCCGGTCCAGGAGAACAACAGCCTCTCCTCACAGTCCCGTATGGTGAGGATGGTGCGCCCACAGAGCCGCCCAAGGGGACTTTAGACGTCTGGCGCGAGAACATTTCGCGCATTTTAGAGTCCCGGCCATTCCATACACTCATTATTACATCGGTGAGCAGCCGCTGTCAAATATTGTCGCTTCTTGTTGACGTGCAGCACTGCTGTAGATTGTGATTGATGCTACTTGTGTCCTCGCTGATCTCGGATTCACCGTTTTGTCCGATTCTTGCACCCCGCTAGATGAGGGCCCTGCATGGCTCGAAGTTCTGGCCACCATATCCCTTGCCATAACCACGCTCTTTCTTATTGAAATACCAGTTGCCCTCTGGACCTTTGGAATCCGCTTCTACAACCCATTCTCAGATGTTCCGCATTCGACTTTGCATCTGTTTGATGCCGCAATTATCATCACGACTTTCATACTCGAATTTGTCCTCAAAGGACGCCAACGCGAATTGGCTGGTCTGCTGATCATTCTTCGTTTGTGGCGGTTAGTAAAGCTTGTTGGAGGTAATTTAAGTTAGACCCATTTCTCCCGTCTCGTCTCACGACCTTTCCAACAGGCATTGCCGTAGGAGCTGCGGAACTAGGGGAAGAAACTGCAGAGGAACTCGAAGAGACCAAAAGGCAGCTCGAGGGCACCACAATCGCACTCGCAAAGGCTCGCGAGGAAAATCGCAAGTTACGGGGCCGGGTAGCCTGGTTGGAGACGGGCGGATCCGAAGGAGCCGAGTTTTGAGCCGAAGCTGATCTCATAACACATGCTTTCTGTCACCTATCCTTGGAAAGTCACTAGTCCAGACTGAGGTATTCAAAATTTTACAACTGCATTACGACGGTGGATATATTTAATACAGCATTGGTGGTGATACCTAAAGTCCGAGTGAAAGCTAAATATGGTACGGGATACAATTGGATATGTTGATTGGGACAAAAAAATGATTTAAGTGCAAGGATGGTGATCAAAAAGGGGACATTAGAGTTCGGCGTGAAAATTGGCCACGCTCGCGGGTATCCACTCAGACAATCGTGGTCGTGGGATGGGCAGATCAGGATCTGCAATCCTCTTCGGAAAAATGGTGGGTGTCGGTGGCGTCAAAGTTGAGCAGGATGTATTTTTACCCAGCTGCAAATCTACAAAAGTCCCAGAATACTTGGAATCATTCGAACCTGACACCTGTCTGGCACAAGCTTTTGGAGGTGGCAGGGGTACCTTTGGAGGGCTGCTGAACGGCGACAAGCGTTGTGTCAAAAAAGGTTGGTCCACACCACGCCGAGTCTGAAGTTCAAGTTGCTTCGCCCAAGCCGGTCGAGTAGAATCGATGGACGGACAATTGCGGGAAAACAGGATAGGCTTCGAGGGTTCGACGACACGTCCTTCGACTCTATGAAGCCTTTCCCAAGTGTCCACAATGTATTTGGAGATGCTGCAAGAACTGCCGCTTTCAGCCCAAGTGGACGATGAGATTTCCGATAATGGGCGTGAGGGAAGAGAGACAGGTATCGAATCAGCGAGGTTGAACCAAGGAACCGCGTTCACAGGCATTTTCCAAAGGGCAGGCAAGAAATGGACATGAGTTGCTGCCATTACGCATAACGTAACACAATACACGAGCACTATTGTCACATCATCAGTACTAATGCTAGCCATGAGTTATGATTAATGATGACATACTGATGGACGTAGCTAACCAGCTGATCGGCGTAAGTAGTGCTGCAGATGCGCAGATAGTCCACGTGGCTAAAAGAACAAAGGAAGTCAGTTACGCAACAAATCACTGATCAACCATATTTACATTGCGATTGACAAAACACTGGGGAACGAGCAGTCGTGACATAAATGCTGGCAGCTTCAAATTCCAATGATAGTGTGGTTAGAGGAGGCATAGATCTTAGATGCTATTGCCAGCGATAGCTTACCTAGCTGAAGCACGCCCATCAGTACAGTCCAGCCACACTCAAATCTAACATGGGAAGGCCTCGCTTTCGGGCATATAACCTCCGCCGAATATGCTCTAATGAGAAAAGTCAGGGGATTGTGTAAGGTCAACAACACGATACATACAGGATTGTAAAAGCGAATATGAGGGCAGCGTTTACGACAAGGAATGCTGATGCACCAGGCGCTACAAACATGTCAGTCGAGATCATCACCGCCATACTAGACAACACACCTGGCATCCCAGAAGAAGTAGAGGACATGATATTCCACCCTGCAAATATAGTTGCTAGCAAATTGAAATAAAGGATGAGGGCTGCGTCGATGTTATCTGGCTGAATCACATTTACTGATATCGTATACTTACTGAAAAATACGGCTCGGATGATGATGAAGGAATTCTGCATTTCGTTGGCTCTAATGGTGCTGTTGGTCGTGAAAGAAAGAGTGACGGTAGGGAAAGTCGTGCACTGTTGCACAACTGTGAAAGGTGAAAAACGAAGCCAAGCGGGGATTAACAGAATTATGAGTGACACCTCTCTAGGAGCAAATATGGTTCGGTCCACCAGAGACAAAGGGATCGGTCCACGAAGGATCCCATTAAATATCGACCATTGTCAACGTGGCAAGCGACAAGTATCACATTGTAAAAACAATAACTTGAACGCACACAACAATAAGCTAAATGTGCATTGTCCAAATAAGGAAATTACAGTAACAGGCCATCTGCTTAGCTTACGAGCAACTCCGGATAGTTGCGCAATTATGTAAGTGATTGGTAGAATGTGAGTACAAGCTCCGGTGGGGGCTAGCACGATCACCGACTCGATATCGTACTCTTGGACACTGTTTAATGGGAATCGAAGACGTTTTCTAACCCGGCGATGAGTGTAAACGATCCTCCACAACTTGGATGGTTATGAAGCCTCTGAGTGCAAAGTTGTCGCTGCTAGATTATACTGGACATTTTTGCGGTATTTCGTCGTCAAATCTGCTGCAATCTTTACAGAAGCATTGGCCCGAAGTATTTCCTGCAATTGACTCTTGATGACACTGGGCATTTGAGTCGCAACAAGACACACCTCCACACAGTGATTTAGCTCGAGGATCATCTCCGTGCACGCTGACTGTTAGTACTGATATGAGCATGGTCGATTAATATCGGATATAGATAGGACCCACAGCGTTCTTGAGAATACGCTCTAGTAAAACTGCTTGTCGTTCGGCGTGAGGATTCTCCATGATTTATAGTACTGCTGTGTTGTAAACTTGTGATGATGACAGACGGGACAAACAATATTCAATTTCCTCTCTGGGCCAACCCTTTACAGCTCACAAAACTATCTTGTTCTAGCAAGTATCATATAGATATACTCGACTTTCTAACTCAACTTCAAAGTTCGCTGTCAGCTCCCATCGTATATATATCTATCAATACGCGGGGCGAGCCAAATGGGGAGTAGGATGCTGTGTCTCGTCAGCTGATGGTGGCCGCACGCGAGGACCAGAAGGCCGTCTAGTACGGGGATGTGTCAATGAATCAGGAGGAGCATCAGAAAAGGGCTCCGACGGAGCCTGAGCGCTTCGTTTCGGAAACTCGAAAGCGCTGGGTGGCGGTTTTCTCTTTGTCTTAATTGGTTGCTCCATCACATTCGCTCGCGGCCAATCAAATGGTGATGAAGATGGAGGCGATGGAGAGGGCGATGTTCGCGCCTCCTGCGTCGGTATTGATGATTGGGCCGAGTGCGAGGTGCTGGGTGGTGGTTTCCTCTTTGTCCTGAAAGGTTGTTCCATAGCATTTGCTCGCGGCCGGTCAAACGGTGACGAAAATGGGGGTGATGGGGATGGGGACGATGCTTGCGCCTCCTGTGCCGATATTGATGACTGGACCGAGTGCGAGGTGCTGGGTGGTGGTTTCCTCTTTGTCCTGAAAGGTTGTTCCATAGAGTTTGCTCGCGGCCAGTCAAACGGCGACGAAGATGGGTGTGATGGAGATGGGGACGATGCTCGCGCCTTATGCGCCGATATTGATGAATGGACCGACTTTGAATAGGTGATGGCCGTATGAAGTCGAGAAGGTAACGGTGGAAGATCCATCTCTGGAGGAATCAAACCACGAATTCTTTGCGAGTAAACACGAGCAGGGGAAGGATATAATACAGAGTGAGCAGGCATCGTTTCACGCAGTGACAAGGCGGAATCTACGGGGTTATGTTGTGTCTCATGTGGGCGATAATGTTCGATCTCGTACTCAGGACCAAGTCCAGCACGATATCCATAGACCGGATTCGGAGCAACTGGGCGAGGCGAGCGAGGTTTATGGACTTCCGATGTTCCACGCCCTTTGACGAAACGAGGAGTTATCGGCGAGTTCTGGGCACTAGGCAGACATTGCCGAGTGGACTCCATGCGGAGATAACGAACATTGTGATGCCATACGCCTGGATCGGTCCATTGTGTCGTAACCGCTGTCACGAATAGAAGAAACAGATACAGAAGCACTAGTACAGTGAGCTAATTAGCAAGGTTAGATGAGAAAATCTGGGACACATACATATGATAGTACAAATCCAAGTAAAAGCTACAAGAACCTTGGTCGACAAACAGGAATTGTTATTCACTTCGGTAGCTAGATGCATAATTAGCACATTGCTCAGTAAAAAGATGATGGATTCAACCTTGGGCGGAGCATTGAATATGCGGCGCAATTGCGGTCACAGCGGCCGCACCAGCTGAAGTAAAAGTGAGACATATATCTCGATAAGCACGAAGGAGCGCACCTAATTGCATGAGCCAGATGATCGTCACCCATACGCACTCGAACCACACTCGCGCAGAGAGTGGATCGGTACATAGTAAGTCGGCGAAAATACTAGGAGAGAGGTCAGTATCTGGGAAAGACAGACACAAGACACTTGCATTGGAAAGATAAAAGTAAGGCTAAAAGCGCCCAAGAATATGAGATAGACATCGACTTGCACTGAGGACGGAGCTTAGAGTGGTGTGATGACCCATATGAATGACTACGTACCAGTCTGGCCTCCTGTAACTTGGACGAGGCTGTGATTCCATACAGCAACGCTGCATATGATGGCATTACAGACGACGAAAAGACCTATCAGGCGAAGGATATGTGATAACCGCCCAAAGGTGAGAGAATCAAGGCATACCGAACAGAACATAACGAGCGAAAAGCATAGTAGACTTCATTTTTGATATCGATAGAATTTTAGGAGGGCATATGCGAGATCAAACCGCACGGCGGAAGATGAAACGAGCAAGGGAAACTGATTCACAAAGATCCAGCTTTGTGTAAGAATGCCGTCTTGCGTTAACTCATGATCAGCTCCCATGCCCGATTTACAAAGCCCGCGGCACCGCTGTTCAAACATTCACAAATACACTTCCCCGCAATACTGACTATCATGTCTGGGAAAATGCGTTTGACTTTTATAACAGATGAACTTTAGAATACAAATGGGTGATTGAGTAATAACAAGGTAAATGAAGTCAGACAGATGGGAGTCCAGAACAAAGTTATTATACACCGATGGCGACTTCGAGGAAAGGTGTCAAGAGCGACAGAGATCCAGCCGAACATTCGATCAGGGGCCATTGGGAAGATGGGCTTCTTGATTTTGCTTCTATGAGAACAATGGGGGTGGGCGGGAAAAGGTCAAGAAACTATCCGAGTGGGTGGGGAATATTGTCCGGCCTTGCTGAAGGTCTGCTATACTAGGAACATAAGATCGGACTTCTGCAGAAGAGTCCTGCTGCAGATGATCTATCATGTCAAAGATTCGCCGGGGCACTACGGATGTGACGCGCAAAGCGTTTTCTAGTGCAGAATGAGAAATGCGGTGCAAGGTGTAAAATCAAAAACATACCAAGTATCGACGCAGATAAACGAGCAACACCAATGCGAACGCCCACTATACTATCATTGCTTAACCGCTCGAGAGTGTGCCATCTTGCATCATCCACTAAGATTGATAGCCCACCTGCTGAGGATACTAAAGCCTGCTGACATGCAACAAACCTGTAGAACAATGTAAAAGGCTGAATGAAGTAGAGGATACACCTACGTCATTCGTCTTCGAAAAATTGGAGAGTTAGCTAGCGAAAGTATATCTCCGTTGACCAAATTGAGCGTAGCTCTCCAGACGTCGTGCGGCGCTATTCGACAGATCTTCAGAGCAGGACGAAGTCCTTGTTAATCAGAACCACTGTTCATCAAGTCTCCACGCACCACAGAGATAGCAGTTTCCCTCACTGCACCAAAGTCGTCTTCAAGCGCTTTTTTTAACAGTGCATGTATGTGATCAGGTCGTTCAGGTCCGCCAGCGAGGTCAGCGATAATCTTGATGACGCCTTCACGTGCTCTCCAATTGCGCAACGAGCCTTCCTCCCATACATTGAGCAGACCAGTGATCACCTCATTCCTCGCCCTTCCTTCGCCCAAAGCCTCAACGAAGAGAGGGACAGCCTCAATTGCTTTGAATTTAATCTCATAATCGTCATCAGATCGCATTGCATCCCACCACAGGCTCATCATATCTCGTTGAGCATTGTCTGGTCCGATGATCTTGGCTAATTCACCCAGACTAGCAGCTAATGTCCGCCGGACTTTAGGTGAGCGGTCCTGCGCGAGTGTGAGGTATAGTCCCCGTAACTCTCCCCATCGCGCTCTGCCAAGGGTAACTGCTACTGCAGGAAAGTTGAATGCACACGCAAGCGGACGACCCGGGTCGTCATCAATCATCAACACCGGAGCATTCGCTGCACGAACAAGAAAAGTATTGGTTAATCATCACACATGATGGACGAATCATCAATACGCACCAGACAGTACCTGTAATGGCGATCGTCGAGTAGGATGTGCATAACGTTCTCGTTGTGAGGAGTTATTATCGATGCCAAGGAACAGTCGTAAAAGATCATCAGGTGGTCCGCGGTTGTCGCCATAGAAGGTGTATACGACTTCCCCTAGAGCCTCCAGGACCCCAGTGCGAACTGGAGCAGATTCGTCTCGCGACAGAGGAATGATGGTAGAGACAGCAACTGATCGGCGCAAGCCTGATGGCAAACGTGACAAAAGTGCAGGCAAAGCAAAAAGGGAGGAGTGTCTCACGTGCCATGCGGGATCGGCACGTAGAGATTCAAACAACGGAAGCTACGGGAACCAGTAGTAAGAACATGGTAAGTTTGAGTGCAACGTACTCACGAGCGAGCCAATGATAAGCTCATCGGGGACGGCTTTTGCAAGAGCACCCAACGCGAATGACGCCTCTCTTCTGACCCAATGAATAGGATCTCTTCCGACTCGTTCAACTTCTCTCACGAAAGCACGTTGAGTATCGACCCTCGGCGTGCCTGCATGGAAAGAATTGTCGACAGAGTTATATGATGAAGTTGATATCATACGTACCCCCAGCAACTACGGCAGCAATGAGACTCATGCTTGATAGTCGACCAACAGCAGCTTGCTCGCCAAGATCCATGTCTTGTCCGCTTTCATGTCCGTCCAACCCAGGATCTGAATGTGCAGATCCAGTGTGGGTCGTAGCGGGCATCGAGTCGCGCTCCCAGGATCCCTCAGTGGACTGCATTGGACTGTGTTGACCGGTATCCTCTAGCTGATGAGATAATATAGTCATAGGTGATGTGTCCAGTCTAATGACTTCGGCTTCGAGATAGGGCGGGGGTACACCAATCGGCGGACTAGGAAGGTTAGAAAGAGTCGATGCTGTCGCTGAGCTGTGCGTCGCTGAAGACAAGGGTGTGTGCGTGCTTGGAAAATACGGATTGACAGAACTGTTGCCTTGTAAAGAAGGATCTGGTTGAAGAACCTCTACCGCGGGTGTATACCACACTTCGTCCACATCTATTTCGTCTTCACTTGGTTCAAGGCGTCCCATGCCTATCACAAGTTGCTGAATGACCTCTTCTTCGAACAGGGTCCTTTCGTGTCTCCCGAAAAAACCGTAAGATAGGTCATCGGCGTGCTGGTCTCCCAGATCATCAGCCCTATGTATTCTTGCCAACAATTCAACAACGGCAGATCTCGCAGAGCCACTAACAACCCCATTTGAGCTCAGGAGGAGCGTTGCTAGAATAGGAGTGAACGCCTGGACTGAGATTAACGTGACCTGATCGTCAGATTGAGGCTGAGGAGAATAATCGGCATTAGACGGGCCACCCGGCTCTTCAACCAAGTGACAATGCTACATGTGCAATGAAATTGAATGTCACAGGGTCAAGATTGATAATGAGGTAAACCGACCGTTAAAAACCACCACATGATGGAAACAAGTTCCGCTGACAGAGCCTCCTTCACTGCCTCATCTAGAAATATCATTCAAGCCGGAGAACCCCGGAATATACGGCGAACATACCTTCATCGACAGACAGACTCGGAAGCAGTGGGAGGACATACTCGACAGCCTCTATAGGCGATACCTGCGCTAGGAATGCTGGTAGAGCATGTGAAATAAATACCCTGTGCACGATACTCTGTTCTCAGCAGTGTGTAAGCACTACTGCTACCCAAAGCCTACCTGTGATGCGCTGATCTACTACGAGAAAAAAGGTATATCTTTTCAAGGGTACTTAAACCCTCATCATCGAGGGTGAAATCTAGTGCAAAGTCAGGCGATGAAAGGGCCTCGGGTGGTGGTATTGTTTCGATTTCAACAGACGCGATTGATGGAATATTGATGAGTGGTGGTGATGGCGGTCTGGAGTTACCAAAGATAGGAACAGGCGGAGGATCTGGTGGTGGATCTTCACCTTGCGGAGAGGTAACAGGTGTAGAAGGAGCGGTATGGAAGGAAAGCGTGGGCGATAGTGGAGGCGAATCAGGAGAATTCTCACCCGGAGAAGGGGAAATAATGAGTGGTAGCGCAAAGGCGCCAAGCACCTGTGGATAAGTCAGATGTATACGAGAAAGAGGAATGGTTGTCCTTGCAGGAGCCGAAGGACGTTGATAAGCCTCCAAAACAGGTTCTACTGGTACAGGTTCCTCTGAGGCAGGGTTGCTGTGTTGAATATCGACAAGAGACACTACATTACCCATGTTGGCTTAAGATACATTGAGGAAATAGAAAAATGATGGGGACGGACTTTGGAATAGGCCTTCTATAAGACCCCTTGAGGAAGGACCGCGGGGAATGAAGTGAGGGGGACACGAGGACAACGGGCTGCCCAGTAAAAGAGCGAATTAAGAAATGACGCAAGGCCACAATGCAGCAAGTCAATCTTGGTTAGTTTAGCACACAAGTTCATTACAAAATAATACAAACGCATTACTGAAGAACTGCTTGCAGATGAGAGTTTGCACCGTGGTGAAAAGGTAAATTCACGGTGAATTTTCTATTAAGCAGCAGCAGCAGTAGCCCGGAGGATTGAGGTGTCAGCCAAAAGTCAGGGTGGGTACCGGAAGAGAACGCGAAGAATTACAAGAAAGGACAAGAAAGATGGAGAGAAGCCGAAAAGAACAAGAAGAGACCGGGACGGAAGAGAGCTCGAGGAAGATGCGAGATTGCACAAGTCGAATTGACACCGCGGAAAATGGGATCAAGTTTAGGCAAGTCCGGAGAATCGGAACAACAAACCTGTAAATTTCCTTGTGATGTCATCGTCCATATTAGTTAGCAAGGCACGTATTGACGTCACATCCATGCGTGTTCCCCCGTATTCGATTACTTTCCTTCCTCACGATATCCGAATACCGATACATATACAAAATTGGTGATCCACATGCATACACATCCCCCATTTCATTCAATATACTAGCCTACTACTCATCAAAATCCTTATTTTGTTCTCTCAGTTCACTAGCCCGGTCCTCGCCTCGTCCACGCGTCCAATGCATGTTCTTCGCGTCATACGTAACGTGCAAATTTAGTCGATAATGTGTCTGACTGCCAGATCAAAACTGCAGACTCACCTCAACATGCCAATGATATATGTCATACGCCCCGATGTAAATAGCGCAAACCATGTGCCTTGACTTGCCAGGGTTGTCACGCCAAATCCGACGACTAGGTTCTAGGACAGTGCACTCGCGTACTCTTGGCGAAGGTCCAATATTACTCAATTTGTTGTGCTGTAGTGCTTTAATGACCCACTGACCTGATACACGAACATGGGCATAGGAGTCCTTCTCTCCACGATGTACCACCCACGCGTCGTCGTCGAGGTCGCCGCTTGCATGAGTCACGATTGAGGTCAACTATGGGCACAAGCGTGTGGGAACGACACACAGCGCAGCGCTGTCTTAGTAGGGCATCAAATTGCACGGCCATAGTGCACGGGTAATAGTAGTAAAAGGTGATCCAGAAGTCGGGTAACGACACCCTTAAAAATGGTCTGCAGTGAAATTTTCACTTTCATTTAACATACTTGAAGGCCATTCCAGTGCCCAGGAACAAGCGTCATATGTGATTTGCACCAGGTCCGGAGATGGTCTGTAAGCTAACGGTGCGCCCCTTTGCAATAGTATCAGCGTCATTTGATATCATTCATGAATGAGCTACGCCATGCCTTGCCCCGGCGGTCAAGTCCCCGGTAAACCCGCGATGACCGATCGAGGTTAGGGTAAGATCATTTGCGATCCTGAACGGTATAGGCGCGGTGATTGAGTTCAGAGTATGGCAGGTAAAGAGGACGCATCTTGGGTGATGGGGAAGGCTTGTTGTCACACTGTGACACATCCAAATTATACGCTACACTCAGTCCGACAATCGGTCGGTGAACAGGATACACTTGTCACAGCTGATACGCTCCTGTCGGATGGAGCAAGGGATTATCCTGTAATTCTGGAGCATGAAAGGGTTTGAATGCCGTGCGCAATGACGCAATCGTGACGGTTGCCACTTACCTGCCATCTGAACTTGAGAAAGACTATTATAGACTTGCCCTCCTGTGTACCATGTTGGTTAGCCGAGGTAAGCTCCGCCGCATTCTGCGGCAGGAAGTAACAGATGCCTGCGACTTGCCCTCACCACAGTGGGTAGGGCAACATCGTGCACGAATATCACGCAATCGACAGACTCCTAAATCAGGTTGTGGTAACCAAAAATTTGTCTTAGATCTAGATCATACCTTGACATGTCGCTTGATTCGTGCGGATGGGCCAACGCCTAAATGGCTGATAAGCTGAAGGTTTTGAGCTCTACTTTTCGAATGCAGTCAGAGAAGTGCCAGCGGAAGGCCACTGAACTTATCGTTATCAATGCCGTTTCAGGGCAGCTACTCTCCAAGCGCACCGTGACGAACCACTTTAATTCCTGTGAATCGACCAATCGGACATGTGAAAAAGGCGGATAATGATTCAACGGCGCGTCATGACGATGATCAGAAACCGGACAAATACATATGTGAAGAAAGATAAATCCAAAGATACCTAGGCAAAGAAGTCCAACATAAACTCCGCCCAGCTGAGTGATGTAACATACATATCTCGTTGTCAATGTATACGTGTATGTGAGAATTCTATTACAGACCAAGTTACAAACAGTACAACCCACAACAGATCGAGCGTCCTATAGCTGGCGGAGAGGTGACCGAGGTATCACAAGTGTCACAGTGTGGGAAGGGATGGATAGATGGGACGCAATAGATAGAAGACCAAGTATTATAAAGTAGCGGAATGTGGGACATGCTGATAATGCAGAGGCCAGTAAAAAGAAATGTTAATGTGGAGCGACATATTGTCGGCACGTAGAGGGGCATCATGCAGTAGCCATCTTGGAAGCCACAGTGCGTTCGCTCTCCAGCTTCGCTTTGTTGCGCTCGAAAGCTTGCTGTCGGCAATCTTCTAGGTTGTTGCAATTATGATGTTCAGGTAAGCGATGCTGAAAAGGTTGCGATGGGTGAAGTGCACACGACCTAATGGGCAATCTACTCACTGCGCCACAAAAATCTGCCCTGCAATGTGGGCACTGGCCAACTATGCGAAGAGCTGCAGAATTGCAAGGAGTCTCAGACTGGAATTGACAACGCTTCTTGGCAGGCATGGTGGTGGCAAGTGAGTGAGAACCTGTAAATGATTCACTATGAGCGCGAGATCAGATCAATACAGGGGAAACATACTGTGAAGAGTGGGGGGCGGGATACTCAAATACGCAACGATGGTGGTGGCAGGAGGGGAGGGTGAGGTGGAAGGTGTGTGTCGATCTTATAAGGCGCACAGCTTCGACGACGCGTCAGCCATGTAACTGCTAAGCCTCCCAAAATAGCCGCCAGCACGTGGCGTGGAGGGGCAAAAGGCACACTGCGGGAGTCCGAATCGGCGAACTTTACTCTAGCGATCCGGGTCTGCATAACACCAGGATAAAAGGAGCTTGCTGAGAGCCAGCGGTGGTAGCAAGAGAATGAAGGAACCCAACTATTCTAGTATCGGATCGGCCACATCACACAAGCCAACTAAAACGCTCGAAAATCACGGGCAGTTACTAAGAGCCCGTTCAGCAACCCAAATTTACGAACACTATCCCCCAAGTACTTGTACAGTATGCTGAGGTCACAGACGTGACTCCGGTACTCCTCTGGTGTGAAAGGTATAGCTCTTCGAAGCGCTGGACCGGTGCTGCAGTGCATGATGCATGGCATAACGATGGGAATCACGGCACCATTGCCTGTAGGCTGTGCCACTGAAATTTGAGTGACGTGGCGGCACTGCGATAGGGCCATGTCACTCTTGAATGGCGTAAATGTGTTACTCAGGCTGCAGTCAGGCAGCCGCAGAAGCTGCCGGCTCCCGGTCGGATGCTCGCAGCGAACATGTTGCAGGCCCCATGATGCCATCCCAATCCCCGCTCAGAGTCGAATGTTATGTAGATTCCTCAGGTCTGCCTTGTCACAAAGTGTTAATGAGGGAATGCCAAAATGCGAGAGATAAGTGCACATGGAATATTGTACTTGAGTTCGAAATGAGGCTGGGACTCGCGAGACACGTGGCCTTGAAGACACGCTGTGCTTGATGGCATGGTGGGAGAATGGTACATCAGTACTTCTGAGAGTCTTGGGGGTGCTGGCTTGGTGACCATCGTGAAGGAACCATGGGGTTGATCAACACGGTTGGAACTTGGGAAGTACAACACAGGCAATAGAGAAAATCTGGTGCAGTTGGAACACGGAAGATATGATAGCAAACCCATTGAAGACATAGACAATGACATGTATGTTCAAATAGTAGACCTGAGGAGTACTATAGCTGATGTAGCTAGCGCTTGAGGAAGCAAGTACTCGCAAGAGAAAAAGCCCGGACAAACTTTATTTGTAAATCCCCATAATGTAGCATCCTTCGTTGATGATGGCCAATAGCCCGTTGAAGGGATAGACTCGTGTGGGATACGTATGGCCAGGCTGTTGACGAGCAGGTTACAAAAAGTAATTCGGATACCGGGAGTCGAACCCGGGGCCGCTGTGTGAAAGACAGCAATGTTAACCGTTACACCATATCCGATGTGTCATGAGTCCTCGACATTGCGCATATGAGTTAGCATCGTAAGTTAACGGAAGGTTCTCAGCAGTTGCCATCTGTGAGAGGAACCAACTTTTGTCTGACTTCAATTTAAAAGGTCTGTCTAGGAGAGACTTCACCGTGGGTTGCCCTTTTCTCTGTCAACACACGATGACCGATCAACCCACAAAACAAAAACTATGGGGCGGGAGGTTTGCAGGCAAAACGGATCCTCTGTACGCATCTGACTCACGATGAATCACTGATATTCTGATGGTCTCGAAGGATGCATGCGTTTAATCAGTCCCTCAAGTATGATCAGAGGATGCATGCTGCCGATATTCGTGGATCAATTGCGTATGCAAAAGCTCTCCGACGTGTTGGTCTTCTTACCGAGGAAGAAGAAATCAAAATGACTCAAGGTTTAGATGCTGTCGGTCGAGAATGGGCAACTGGTCAAGTACATACCTCATTCATAAGGCACTCGATCCTGTGTTTCATTAGATAACCTTGCGTCACAGTTCCGACCTGCCTCTGATGATGAGGACATCCATACTGCAAACGAACGCAGACTAAGCGAGCTGATCGGCCCACTCGGCGGAAAACTTCATACTGGACGCTCTCGCAATGATCAAGTGGCAACCGACATGCGCCTTTGGCTTCTCGGTGAAGTGGATGACATACAATCCAGTCTCAAAGGTCTCGTGCGCATCATGGTAGAGCGTGCAGACAAGGAGAGAGATATTCTGCTCCCTGGGTATACCCATCTCCAAGTAGGTGCATGCTTCTCATACGTAGGGGCCACTCACGATCAGGCAGCGAGGACAACCTATTCGGTGGTCACACTTCCTGTTGTCGCACGCCTTTTCGTTCCGCAACGATCTTGAGCGACTTCATCAACTCATCCCGCGTATTTCCGTTCTACCTTTGGGAAGCGGTGCCCTAGCTGGCAATCCATTCTCAATCGATCGTGAATTTCTTGCCAAAGAACTGGGGTTCGCTTCACTTGCCGAAAATAGCATGTGGGGGGTCGGCGATCGTGACTTCATTGTCGAATTTTTGATGTGGTCAAGCCTCACTATGATTCACATGAGCCGTCTGGCTGAGGATTTGATCATATATTCCACTGCCGAGTTTGGCTTCGTCACTCTCAGCGATGCATACAGGTATGGATTTATTCGGACGGCAGCCTGAGATGTCGTTTTACCTTGCGCTTAGCACTGGCTCGAGCATGATGCCCCAGAAGAAGAACCCAGACTCTCTTGAATTATTGCGAGGAAAATCTGGGCGCATCTTTGGAGATGTACGTCATGTGGTATTGTGATGCAATTCATCTTCACGAGCACAACCACTTTCCTAGATGGCAGGATTCATGATGACGCTGAAGGGTTTACCGTCGACATACAATAAGGATCTTCAGGAAGACAAAGAACCACTATTTGACACTGTCGACAACATTTCTGCATCGCTCAAGATCACGGAGGGTGTCATAGCGACTATGGAAGTCTGTCTGATCTCACTGTATTTCTATGGCACTCGATGACATGATGGTCAAACAGGTCCATGGCGAAAAGATGAAACAAGCACTGACTATGGATGTCCTTGCTACCGATCTTGCTGATTATCTCGTCCGGAAAGGGGTTTGTATTCTGTTGGACTTACAGTTATTACTTATTGACGACCAAATAGGTGCCTTTCCGTGAGACCCATCACGTTTCTGGCCGTGCTGTTGCTTTGGCCGAGGCTAGGAAATGCCAGTTGAATGAATTGTCTGTCGAGGACTACAAGGGTCTACACGAAAGGTTCTCTGACGATGTGGTCGAAGTCTTCAACTTCGAAGCCAGTGTTGAGAGAAGGTCATCTATTGGTGGACCAAGCCGCAAGACGCTGGACAGGCAGATCGCGGTCCTGCGAGCAGCGCTTGGCCAAAAATAGTTCCGAAATCTGTACATTTGGTCACTTTGATGCCAATCGCCGTGACTTCAATAATAAAATAAGAGCCTTGTAACTGGACCCTGAGACCCGTACAACCGTTGAACCTGTGTCTGCCAGTGGGAGAGCGCCAAGCTGAACCGCTAGCACAACCCTAGAGTACTGCATTTGTGGTTTGTTTTTATATCGGGGTTAAACTTGTTTAACCAAGTTGAATCGATTCACGATGCTGGTAAGCCTCATGACTCAGCGTCATTCTTACAGGCCCCTTTCCATCTGGATATTTAAGTGTCTAACTGACGTGATCCGTTTTCACGTCGCACACTTGTCCCCTAAAGCACTTCTGCTCGTGCACGTTCTGCACTATCTACTCTATATATTTTTCGTCAAAACTTGAATTTAAACGCTGTTGAAATTCGGTCATACTTCCAAAACATATGTCAGACCCGAGTACCTCAAATAACAATGCCGCCAACTCGTCGCAAACACAATCTTCGCTTAGGGGACCAGGAATGCGAGGGACTTCGGTTGAGACCGACACTGATGGAGCGCATCTACCCCAACAAGACGTGGCGAAGAGGTGCCTTGACGTCGTCAGAGAGTTTAAAGCATGCAAGTGCACAAAGTTTGAAGCTTCCTACGTCATCTCCACAATCATCAAAGAAAGTCTACCCCTTGGATCAGGTGAAAATCCCATTACGGTTGCGGCTATCTACCTCGGAATGCTCGACGAATGGGAGTCGGAGCAAGACCAAGCCAACTACAGAGGAGCAGGAGCCGGAGCCGCTAGAGAACGTTCGGTTGAACCAACGTCGAACTCGCGGTTCGAAAAGGAGTCTCCAGCAGAGATTAGGAGTCGGGATGTTAGCATTGAGCCAGGAGAACCTGCTCGAAAACGAGCAAAGCTCGACTTTACCTGTCTTGAACTTAAGCCATCAGTCCTCGAAGAACCCGCCAAACCATTATCACCCAATCTCAAACTCACCATCCGCATCTTACAGAACTGGGCACAGGATCAGAAACAAGCTAAGCTCAAACTCATGTACCATGAACGCAGCCCAGAATTTCACGAGTCAGGATGGGCGGACATTGTTGCAGGACGAAGCATCAATCTCGACGCCATCCACACCATCATCACCACTTCACGAGCCGTTGACAAGCACAAGGAGACCATTGGGGACATTGAGCTCACCTATGGAGTATCAGAGACGGCCACGAAGAAGATCACTACACAAGGCCAATGGAACGCGGCATGGAACAGGGCTGCACGAGCCCTCAAATTCGCTTTCCCGTTCAGACAGGCTGAACTTAACGCCTACTCCGAGCACATCAACGAGCAGTTCGACCAACAATTGGAGAGTTACCATGGACGCGTCCTCCGATATGACAAATCAGTCAGATTTAGAGTCGGAAACACTCGAAGGTATGAGTTGTCCGACTTTGAATGCTTCAAAGACATCTACAGCTCCCATTTCTCTGCCGGAGGAAGGTTACACAATGACTCGGGAGAATCTAGCAAAGCCACGGGAGCAGGACGAGATCTTCTCGTCAAAAGAGAACCATGTCGCAAATGGAATAGTGGCGAATGCACCCGCAGCGCTGCCACTTGTCGCTACGCCCATATCTGCAACATTGAACAGGACGGCCGGTTGTGTGGACGCCGTCATGTCAGATCAAAGCATAACGAAGATCAAACCAAGTCAAAATCAACATGAGGCATATCTCAAACGTCCGCGTTTTCGTCGAGGTTTGGTTTGGTCCCCCTTAGACGCCTCGTTCAGCCCAACTGCTCGGTCTACAGAGTATGCGGACCCTGTACCAACTGCGCCCGCTTATTTAGCAGATAGTGATGCTGCCCACACGGTCGCGGCTCACCCAGAACTCTTCAAGATAATAACACCAATCAACGTTGATCGGTTTCAATGCCTGTTGAAAAACCACCCTAATCAGCCCTTTGTTCTTTCGGTGTGCCGAGCACTTCGAGAAGGATTCTGGCCATGGGCCGACGCTTCGGATGAAGCCTACCCTTCCGTTAACGATAACTCTATGCGCACTTGCACGAAGACTGAAGAGCAACAAAGATTCATTGATGAGCAGCTTGAAGAAGAAATAAGACTGGGACGAGTATCTGAAAGTTTCGGAACGGAACTACTTCCTGGAATGTATAGTGTGCCGATGCATACTGTTCCCAAACCTAATTCTGATAAGCTACGTCTCGTCGTGGACCACACTGCTGGTGAATTCTCGCTCAACTCCATGATCGATTCAGATGCCATCAAAGGAACTAAGCTCGATGGTTTACATTCGCTGGGAGCGTCGCTGCTTCAGTTTCGGCAACAGCACCCTCATGAACAACTAGTTCTATTCAAATCGGACGTCTCGCAAGCTTTTCGTAGGTTACCAATGCATCCGCTGTGGCAGACCAAGCAGGTGCTAACGGTACGAGGACAACGCCATGTAGACCGTAATAACAACTTTGGAGGAAGAGGATCCCCCAAAGTTTGGATCTCTTTCATGTCCCTGGTCGCTTGGATCGCTATCCATCACGCGTTAATTGAGGCACTCAAGTTATATATGGACGACTCTTTTTCATTCGAACTCGCGGGGAAAACGTTATACTATGAACCCTATGAATGTTTCTACCCGGAAAAGCAAACTCGACTACTACGTCTCTGGGACGAACTTGGTGTCCCTCATGATCGTCCAAAGCAAGTCTTTGGTTGTCCTCTGACAGTCATAGGCTTCGAAGTCGACCCTAATGCCATGTCGGCTACCTTACCTTCACACAAGAAAGACGAGCTGGTGATGCACTTGCGTCAATTCGGCGGAAGGAACTTTCGGTGGACACTTCGCGAGTATCAACAACTCGCGGGGTGGTGTGAATGGAGTTTTAACGTCTTTCCATTACTCAAGCCTGGACTCTCAGCTATCTACGAGAAGATACGAGGGAAAGACCAACCACACGCTCGTCTACATGTCAACAATGGCATCATCTTCGAATTGAACTGGATGGCAGATCATATGGAGAAGCTGCCCGGGCTACTATTCTACAAAGCCTTGGACTTTAACCCACTGTCTGAGGACGTGGTAGTAGTCTACACGGACGCATCAGGATTAGGAATGGGTCTATGGTTTCCTCACGAGAACTTCGCCGGTCAGTCGCCATTGCCCATTGAAGCTCCCAAAGACACCATCTTCTTCTTCGAGGCCCTCGCAGTGTGTTCGGCCATTCATGCCATACCGAACATGATGGAAAGCCCACCTAGGATGCTCATTTACACCGACAATTCCAACACAGTAGCAATGTTTAACTCACTTCGTGCTCATCCCCCTTATAACTCCATCATTCTAGCGGCAGTGGACGTCCTGCTGGAGTATCAAGTAGACCTGCGTGTCGAATTCATCCCTGGTTCGGAGAACAGGGTAGCCGACGCACTTTCGCGATTCCAGAACGAACGTGTATTGGAGATAGCTCCTGCCGCGAGCTTCTTCGATTTCGAACCCCCTCGAGATGCGCTGGGGGCAGCGAAAAAATGATGAATGTATCTTCATCGTCCAGGCAACCTCTGAGGGAAGCTTGGACACCTGAGCGCCTCTTGTACGAGCGCTCAGTAGCACTTGGTTTCGCTATTGACTCAACAACAGCATCTGTGTACAACTCGCATCTGAACTCATACATCACCTTCTGTCGACTGCATCACCTGCCAATCGATCCAACGATTGATACACTATCTTTTTACGTGGTTTGGTTATCGCATCACATCGAACCACGCTCCGTCGACTCTTACCTTTCAGGAATCTCGAGTCGACTCGAAGACACGTATCCTGACGTCCGTGCGGCTCGACGTTCATCGCTAGTCGTACGGACACTTCGTGGCTGCAAACGCCGTTTGTCAAAACCGGTACAAAGGAAATTACCTTTGAGTATCGACGACTTGCAGCAGGTCCAAAGGAAGCTCGGTTTAGAGTTAGAGCACGACAATAGTCTGTTCTTAGCTCTGCTTTTCACTGGGTTTCTGACTCTGCAACGACTGGGAGAACTCACTTGGCCTGATGCAGTGAAGCATCAATCTTACAGAAAAGTCCCTCTCCGACACACTCTCTCCATCACGGCAAGAAGCATCTCCTACACGCTACCTTATCAGAAGAACGATGGCTTGGGGACTGGGAGCACCATCCTCTTGTTATCGGATTCCGTTCTCGACAACGACCCACTGCCGGTGTTACGTCGTTACTTCGCATTCAGAGACGGGTCTTTTCCCTCTCGCCCAGCGCTGTGGTTGACAAGCGCTGGTTCGATTCCCACACGCTCTTGGTTTCTTCGGCGTCTGCGCCAATATTGTGGCTCGGCCATGTCGGGTCACTCGATGAGAGCAGGAGGAGCCACTGCACTGGCTATAGCAGGTATGACGCCTGATCTTATTCAAGCTGCAGGGCGGTGGTCATCGGACGAATTCAAAAAATATATACGCCAACATGCATTCTTGCTGAACGCACTGTTACACGGGTCCGCACGGACCACACAAATGACATGAGACATCTCGCGTGTCATTCAGGACAAGGATCTGCTTCTTCAAATAAGAAAACGGCACCAAGACCAGAAAGCAAAAGACAACACCGCATATTAAAAAAAAAAAAAAAAAAAAAATAGGCCCTTTAGCATGTCCTTCGCGCCTCCGTCGCTCACATCTTCTCTTTCGCGCTTCTCCTTCGCACATCCGGCTCTCACTTTCATCTTTTCTCCCACCGGAGCTTTTCTATTGCTCACTTGAGCACGTTTTTTCCTCGAGACCCGCGTCTTCTACACTCTGTGCTATCATGTACAGTACTTCGTCTCTCGGTTTCGCAATAAAATTCAACGAGTCCCCCGAGCATGGAGCTGGGGGACTCCGCTTGCCTAATCACCGCGAGACCTTAGCGTAAAAATGCAACTACATCCGGCATGTGCTTGCTGCGACTTGTGGCTGTACTCGGTTCGTTTCACCACTCATCTTACTCCAGCGAGCACTCATCCAACATCGGGAGACCGCAGTTTAACGTGTTCATCTACGCAATTATATATTTAAGCAACTCATAAATTCACCTCACCTTGATTTTTCCAAAACACGCCTACCTTCTTTCAACACACCTTGACGACATAACATGGACAGGT